GGCGACCAGCTCAGCAGAGAACCGAGGTCGGCTCGGATCTGCCGATGTGAGCCGGTGTCCCCTGTCCCATGTCCCAGGCACCCGCCGACCAGCCCAGCAGACGACCGAGGTCGGCTCGGACCTGCCGATGTGAGCCGGTGTCCCCTGTCCCATGTCCCAGGCACCCGCCGACCAGCCCAGCAGAGGACCGAGGTCGGCTCGGATCCGCCGCTGTGACCCGGTGTCCCCTGTCCCATGTCCCAGGCGGTTTCCGGTGATGGGGACTGTTGGAGGCTGTCGGGGATGCTGGAGGAGGAAGGGGTGAGACGCTGAGCTGGAAGTCCAGCTCCCGTGGCGCGACGCCAACGGTAGCGCGGCGCCGAAGCACTTCGCTCGGATTAGCGGTGTTTAAAGGCTCCGTCTGACTGGCGTTTTACGTCCGGAGAACCCTTTGATGCTTTCAGGCGGGACAGAATATGGCTGAAGCTTGTCGGTGAGGCGTCCCGGAGGGGTGTCAGCGGAGCCGAGCCGCCTTTGTATGGCCTCTGGTCATGCGCCAGGGAGCGTGTGCGCGGCCCATCACGTGCGTTGAGCTCGCTGTTGTCACGAGCGTCGCCAGCGAGCGTCGGACCAGGGGGCGTGGGCGCGGCCCATCACGTGCGTTAAGCTCGCCTGTGTCACGAGCGTCGCCAGCGAGCGGCAGACCAGGGAGCGTGCGCGCGGCCCATCACGTGCGTTAAGCTCGCCTGTGTCACGAGCGTCGCCAGCGAGCGGCAGACCAGGGAGCGTGCGCGCGGCCCATCACGTGCGTTAAGCTCGCCTATGTCACGAGCGTCGCCAGCGAACGGCAGACCAGGGAGCGTGGGCGCTGCCCATCACGTGCGTTAAGCTCGCCTGTGTCACGAGCGTCGCCAGGGTGCGTCAGAGCGGCGCTCCAGCGGTCGGTCGGCCTCGCGCAGGTCAGGACACCTCGCAGGTCACCGGAAGGGTCGATTCGGCACGTGACCACGCCGCCAAGAAAGGTCGCAGCGGGTTGAAAGTTCGGGCTGAAATCATTGATCCGAGTTTGTTTGCTCCTCTTTGCTGCTGCGATATACCTTTTGGGGTATGTTGTTATACTAGTGGCTGAAGCCAGCCTGGACGAACCTTTTAGAAGTCTCACACCTGGCCCTGGAACTGGAACTAAAACTGGAGCTGGCGTTGGAACTGGAGCTGGAACTGGAACTGGAACTGGCACTGGCACTGGAAATGGAACTGGAATCACAAAGCCGGTTGACCAGTGCGTAGGTCTTGAAGCGGAGCTTGTATAAGGCCCACATGTTAAATTGTGAGTTTTCCCTTTAGTTCCCGTATATCCAGGAATTGTCCACTGTGTGTCGGCAGCGCTGATTGATGCAGCCGAATATTTCCCGACAGCGATGGTCGGGTGGTGCCCGGGACAGGTCAGCGCTGGTTGGGTGGGGTGGGGGACAGATCAGCGCCGGTTGGGTGGGGCCAGGGACAGGTCAGCGCTGGTTGGGTGGGGCCAGGAACAGGTCAGCGCTGGTTGGGTGGGGCCGGGAACAGGTCAGCTCTGGTTGGGTGGGGTGGGGGACAGGTCAGCGCCGGTTGGGTGGGGCCGGGGACAGGTCAGCGCTGGTTGGGTGGGGCCAGGAACAGGTCAGCGCTGGTTGGGTGGGGCGGGGGACGGGTCGGCGCTGGTTGGGTGGGGTGGGGGACAGCCAGCGCTGGTTGGGTGGGATGGGGAACGGGTCAGCGCTGGTTGGGTGGGGCCGGGGACAGGTCAGCGCTGGTTGGGTGGGGCCGGGGACAGGTCAGCGCTTGTCTCTCGCTTCGCCCGGCGTGACTTCATCGGTTCCCGGAGCTGGGCTCTGTTATCGTTGGCAGGAGCTGGGCTCTGTATCCCCAGCCCAACTCTGGCTGGGCCCCGGCCCGGCTGTCGGGGGCCGCTGCTGGGGGCCGCCGCCGGGGCACCGGACCTCCGGGAACGCGCTGTCTCACTCTCCACCCCCATCCAGCCTCAGCCCCACCAGACCAGAGGCTGATCTGGTGGTACTGGGTTGACGCAAATTCGTGTTAAGATCTCTGGTACCATTTTGGATGCCACTGCGCTTGACTGCTGCTGGTTAATTCGCAAAATTATATTTGTGCACCGCGGTAGCGGTCGGGAATCACATATTGTAAACAGTGATTCGTATTCCTTTTAATTTAACTCCTTGCTTCACGTGTATATCATACGGGCTGGCGCGCCCAGTTGCCGTGTCTGCCGGAGTGGTGCCGCGCTGCCCCGGGCCGCTCTGCCGGCGGCGCCGCGTCCGGCCGGTGACCACGGGCCGGCCGGTGACCACGGGCCGGCCGGTGTCGTGACCGGGGGGCGTCAGCTCACATCGACCGCGCGGCGCCGCCTCCGGCCCATTGAAGGCCCGCCGGCGCGCAGACCTGGCGCCGCCTCCGGCCCACTGAAACCCCGCCCGGCGCGCAGGCCTGGCGCCGCCTCCGGCCCACTGAAGCCCCGCCCGGCGCGCAGGCCTGGCGCCGCCTCCGGCCCACTGAAGCCCCGCCCGGCGCGCAGGCCTGGCGCCGCCTCCGGCCCACTGAAGGCCCGCCGGCGCGCAGGCCTGGCGCCGGCGCCGCGCCCCGTTGTCATGAGAGCGGGCGGCGAACGGGCCCTGGGGGCGTCGAGTGGCGCCGCAGCCCTCGTCCCGTCGCCGTTTCATGCTCGGTAATAGGGCACGCAGTCGCGTGGGGGAGTCGACACGGCGTTTGCCTTGCTCGTTGTCGTAACGGCGCGTGGCTTATCACTATTTCGTGGACGGCGTGGGCTCCGTCAGAGTTATGGCCAGCTACTGTGGACGTGACGGCGGATGTCGGTCCGGCCCGGGTCCTGCGTCGGGGCGCCGGACTGTGAGGTCGTGTGAGTCGGCTTGTGACGTGATGACTGAGGCCTCGCACGGGCGTCCCACCAGTGGGCTGGGAGTCCATGTGAGAGTCCATGTGGGAGTCCATGGCTTGTGCCGTGATTGCTGAGGCCGCGCCCGGGCCGGCTATGAGTCGACGACCTGCTTGTGTTGGCCCGCTCGGCTCGGTCGCCGCGGCTGTTTCCGGCGTTCGATAACATACACACACGGGCCGGGCCTGGACTGGAGCTGCTTATAGCCGGCAGACCCCCTGCGGCGCGGGGTCGCCGGAGCTGATCTGCCAGTGTCGCCCCGTGACCCGCACCTGGTCGGGGTCTGGTCGGGCATCACCCGCCGGGGGCACGGCGCCCGCGGTCGTCTCCGCGCGAGAAGCGTCGGGAGACGCGCCGGAGTGGTGACCTGACCCGGAGCAGCGGGTCACCGCGCAGTCGGCGGCCGGTCAGACGCCTGCGCCGGGTGACGCGAGCCCTGGCCTGATCGGCCTGTTTGCCTCAGCCGGAACGGGACCGGAAGCGGCGTGTCCCGTCAAGGTCGCGCCGGCGTGGCGTCGAGGCGCTGACACTGGCGCGCGGGTGCCAGCTCGCGGGCTGGGGCCGCTGGCGCGCTCACGGCCGGCTTTGGCACCGGCAGCGAACGGGGCCCAGCACGGGGCGACGTGCGAGCGGAGGCGTCAGCGGCGGGGCGGGGCGGGACGGCTGTCTGCCCGGAGGCGATGGCGCTGACCGATGGCGAAGGGCCCGTCAGTCCACAGGCGGCCGCCTCGCTCCAATATGGCGGCTGGCGCGGCAGATGTGTTACGCAGCCGTGCCGCGGCGGCTCACTGGCTGCCGCCGAGTCTGCGAGCCTGACGAGGTCTGGCACGGCCTGGCGTGACCTGGAGTGACCTGAGCGTGACCTGGCGTGACCTGTCGCACCAGCCGTGACCTGAGCTGATGTGACGGCCCGTGCGGACCTGGTGTGACCTGTCGTGGCGGCCTGGCGTGACCTGGCGTGACCTGCTGCACCGGCCGTGACCTGAGCCGATGTGACGGCCCGTGCGGACCTGGTGTGACCTGTCGTCGCGGCCTGGCGTGTCGGCGCCCTGGCGGCCATGGCCCTGATGAGACGCGCCGCCATGGGCACGGCGTCGCCCCCATTAGGCTAATGGCGGCTGAGCCGGCCGGCGCGCCGTCTCCGGCGGCACGCCACCGCCGCCGCCGGGCCCAGCGGGGCAGCGCCGCTCTGGGCCCTGGGCGGCGGTCAGGGCGCCCCCGCCGCTGCGGTGATGGTACGGGTAGGCGCAGCGCGGTCACGCTGTCACCAGGGCCCGTCTGGGGGAGCGCACAGCACACCCGAGGGAAGGCCGGCCACGCTTCTATGTGGAGGAGTGGCTGCGCCAACAAAGAAACATCAAATGCGTTACATCAAGTTCTGTGTAAGCTATGAAGTGTGGAAACCCCTGCCGCATTCTTCCCACGCAAACGCTAAAGGGGTTCTGGCTCGCGTTTAAACAAATTACCCGGTTCTGTGCGTTATTCTAGGGCAGTGGATGAGGTGCTGGGGAGTGCTGCATGTGATGTGATCTTGAGCTGTAGAGGCGCTGGCCATGGAGGCAGTGTTTTCCACTCATCCACGAGCTGCTGACAGCACCCGACTTTGGGCTGTGCCCTGGGCCTGACCTCGGTCTGACCGGCCGTGCCCTAGTCTGACCTGGGTCTGACCGACCGCGCCCTAGTCTGACCTGGTTCTGACCGGCCGCGCCCTGGCCTGAGCGTAGTCTGACCGGCCGTGTCCTGATCTGACCTGGGTCTGATCGACTGTGCCCTGATCTGACCTGGGTCTGACCGAATGTGCCCGGGTCTGACCTGGGTCTGACCGACTATGCCCTGATCTGACCTGGTTCTGACCGACTGCGCCCTGGTCTGACCTGGTTCTGACCGACTGTGTCCTGGTCTGACCTGGGTCTGACCGACTGCGCCCTGGCCTAAGCTTGGTCTGACCGGTCGTGCCCTAGTCTGACCTGGGTCTGACCGACTGTGCCCTGGTCTGACCTGGTTCTGACCGACTGTGTCCTGGTCTGACATGGGTCTGACCTGGGTCTGACCGGAGATCGTTCTGTTGCAGTCGGACGCCAGCGCCAGCTTCCTGCGGGCGGCCCGAGGCGGCAACCTCGACAAGGTGCTGGACTACATCAAGACCGGCACCGACATCAACACCTGCAACCAGGTCAGACTTGGCGGCAGCGACTGTGGGGCGGTGGAGGGCCGGGTGAGAGCGCTCTGAGGTCCCAGTATGGCTGTGTGGACTCATTCGAGTGTTCAGTGTGCCGCCAAAGGTAACTTCGAGAACGTATCGTGCGAACCGGTGCTTTTTAAGTACTCGGTTGTAACGTCTTCTGTTGTCATCGCTCATTGGTCGTGAGAAGGACCTGAGGATATTTGGGGTGCAGCCATGTATGCATCACAGCCTCGGAAGTTTTTGAAGTTCCGAGTTGCGCAATCCGCGATGTTGCGATTCGTAAACCTACACTAACCAGTACACTGTCGAAGACACGTTGTGCGAACAATCACAGCATTGGGGAGGACCACAGCCGCCATCATTAATCCATCTGCGTATGACATGCCTCTCTCCTCTGCGACGTTTTAATCCTGAGGCAGCCCCTCTCCGCCCTGTCACGGCCGCTCCCCCCGTCGTCCTGTCACGGCCACGGTCCTGTCATGCCCCTCCCCCCCCCGTCCTGTCAAGGTCGCCCTCCCCGACCCCTCCTTCCATTCACGACCGCTCTCTTCCCTCCGTCCTGTCACGGCCGCTCTCTCCCCTCCGTTCTGTCACGGCCGCCCCCCCCTCCCACACCCCTTCCACCGTCCTGTCACGGTCCCCCCTCCGTCCTGACCCGACATAGGCCCTCGGCCCGGCCGCCTGTGACCTTGCCTGACCCTGGCCGGTCGGCGCCCGTATTGAACCCTCGCCGGGGGGCGGGACGGGGCGTGGCATGACCCCGACGCCCGGTCCGCCCGGCCGCGCGCGGTGCGTGAGACCGCCCCGGGAGGCGGGCGCCGGCGCCGGCGGCGGTCACAACACGCCTGCTGGAGGCGTCAACAACAGCCGGGGCCCGGCAGCGCTCGATCGGCCCGTGCCGATGGGTGTAATAGGATCGGGCGCCGTCGCCGCATCAGGCCGGAGCCGGACGCCGGGCCTGGCTTCTGTTACTGTCGTGACGGCGCGCCCTAACATAACGGTTTCTCGCGGGCAGTGCGGGCATGCTGTCGATGGCCTCTGCTCGCGTGCTGCGAGGGCGCCGGAATGTTTAAATGGCTGAGGGCCAGGCGGGGAGCGCTAACCTGCCCGTCGCCCCTAAATGGCTGTTGCTCTGTGGATTTTGTTTGCCCACTGTGTGTTAATGAAGGGCAACTTTGCGCTTGGTGTAGGCCTACGCTTTAAAAAAGTTTTTGAAAATCGCAGCCATCAAATGGAGCCCGGAGAAGGTAGCCTCTGCGTTTTATAATAATCCAGCCAATGCATATAAGAGACCCGGCCCAGCACTGAGCGGCCTTATTACACGTTGGTTAGCCGGGGTTGTCACAAGCTAACGCAAACGGACAAACCCCGACAAAGCCTGCTCGAACGTTTCAGGATGAGTTGTGTGGATGTTTTCGGCGCGCGCTTCTTGCCCGTGTTCTTTTAGCTTTAACGGCAGTGTTTGCGAAATGAAACTGCCAAGCATGGGTCTTTTTCTGTTTTGTTTTTTCATCCACCAGCTCTTTCGGCTCAGCAGAGTTCGGTAATTATTTGCACTGTTGCATAATGCATGGGTTTCCCTTCAAGTTGGATGGTAGACTCGTTTCTTGAAACAAGTTTATGCGAGCATTTTGATTTGATGAATTTCTGGAATCAGAGTACAAGCAGCGTTGGCTGTGTGAACCCTCCCCTCACCCCCATCCGGTCATGAAATTTCAGTTCAACGGCGTAATTTTGGGGCGAAAGCTTGACGTGCCGCAACCATGTTTCCCACCGCTTACTATGTTTTTGCCAGTAAGACACACCCCCGTGTGTGGCAGCCCGAACTCATCAGCCACGTAATCTCGTGCTTCCCTAGCTCGAGTGAACATTTCAAACCGCCTGACGACGTGTTCAAGCCTTCCAAACATTTGTCTCACTTCAGTCCAAACTGACGGCACGTGTCAACATTTTCGCCGGGCCCGGAGGTCGAGCATGACGTCACTGGCCGGGTCCGGTGACGGTGGTCCGGTCATCCGTCTCGGTCTGCCATCGGGCCGATGATGGCCGACCGACACCCGGTCTGAGGCCGACATGACGTCACTGGCCGGGTCCGGTGACGGTGGTCCGGTCATCCGTCTCGATCCGCCACCGGACCGATGATGGCCGACCGACACCCGGTCTGAGGCCGAACATGACGTCACTGGCCGGGTCCGGTGGCGGTGGTCCGGTCATCCGTCTCGATCCGCCACCGGGCCGATGATGGCCGACCGACACCCGGCCCGGGACCGGACTCGCAGCAGAGATTGATGATCCCCTCCCCTCCCCTTCCCTGCAGGGGGCGGGGGGGGGGGGGGGAGTGCCGCCGACGGATGCCAGGCGGGCCGGGTGTGGTCGGCCCGCTCGCCGCCAGGCGTGCCGGCCTGGCCGGGCATCGGTGGCCCGTGATGGGGCGGCCGGTCAGGCGGGCTCGCTGCAGCCGTCAGCGCCGTGTCACCGGCCCGGCTGCCGCAGCCGAGGACGGCACGTGACCCCCCCCCCCCATCTCGGGGACGCTGGGGGCTAACTCTGACGGGATACGGAGCATTCCACCGAGACGGAATGCTTCGATTTACTGTGCTGTTGGGGGCGCGACTAGAAGTAGAAGTTCGCTCAAAGATTTAGACCATTGTGAGCTGGTAAATTACGCATGTATTCGACGGACTAGGACGGGATGCGTCAAGTTTAAGAAAAAAAGTTTTGTTCTCAAAATCCATCATTCGCGCACAATTTGGTTCACTTAACAAATCAGTGCTTTCAAAAATGTACGTTTGAAGAAGTGAAAAGTTAACAAAGTGGTACCCTCAGCAAGAAGTGCAGCTTCCAAAGCACATGTGAATGCACTGCTATCGTACACACTTTTTATCTTCTCCTTAAGGTTAAAACTTTACGGAGTTATTACAGCACAGTTGGAAAACTCGGCGCAGAAATACACCAGCAGACCACACAGCGCAACTCTGCACATGTTTACTCGAGAAGGCTAGTGGTGGGCTTAATCCCATCAACTTGCAGCTGGCTCGTGGCGAGAGCGTTTCGTGCGACCTGGGTGTGGCCGAAAATCGAAGCTCCGCGTGAGTCAGCACGCGGGCGGCAGTTCGCAGCCGCGACCTTGTGCCTCAAGCGCGCGTGTGCGCGTGTGTGTGGTTCGCACGAGCCATGTCTGATGCAGTGTTTTTTTCTCAGGTTGACATCCACTAACGTGAGGTTTACTTTCAGAATGGGCTAAACGCGCTTCACCTGGCCAGCAAGGAGGGCCATGGCCACATTGTCAGTGAACTGCTCAACAGAGGGGCAAATGTTGACGCAGTCACTAAGAAGGGCAACTCGGCACTGCACGTGGCCTCCCTAGGTAAGTCGGACCTCGGTGACCGTGAGTCCGAGGTTATCCTCGCGTCGTCACATTTATCAGTGCTGTGTTCCTGCGGACCACAGATGCGGTTTTGCACGCCGCCTGTGGCGTCTCCTTGCGCGTCCTTTGCTCGTTCGTTCGGTGTGTATTTACGATATGGCAAATCTCGTGCCGCATGTAGTACGCCTCCTCCGTTTTTATTCGGCGGCAAAAAGTCGGTCATGCTTGATGTGGTGTTTGGTCAGCGGAGACGGGTACGCGGCCGGCCGTCAGGGTGACCTGTTTATTGTGGTAAGCCGCGTCGGCCGGCGCCCGGTGGCGCGCCTCCTTCACGGCCGCCGTGTCGGCCGGCCACGCACGCTGCCGACGCAGGAGGCCAGGCGTGAACCGTCCATCATCGGCGCGGCGGCGGCCAGGGTGGTCCGAGCTGTCGCTCCTCGGGGCCCGGACAGACGGCGGGCACCCGGGCTGGGGCCGGCGAGACCGTTGACTGGGGGCTGATGACAACTGTTGCGGTGCTGGTGCTGTTTTGTGGCGGTGGTCACCCGTGCTAGAGCCAACAGTGTACGTGCTGGGGCCACTAATGGTGTGCGGGTTGCTAGGGACCTGGACTGGGACCGACAGTGATCGGTCGGCTTTGCTGATCTACGGCTGGACCACACCCCTTTGCTACTAGTAGTGACTGACTGGGGCAGGTAGTCCTCCAAGGGCAATGTCCTGGTTCGGATCGGGGTAATCCAGACATGGTTTGGGCCGTGGTGACAGGGACAGTAAGCACCACAGTAGTTACCAAGGTGTAGCGGCCGGGCCGTGGTCGTTGTGCGACGCTGACTGTGACCGCCTGTGTCTTGTTGCGGGTGGTGGATCTGGCCCGGTCTGGCTGTCGGCGACCGCCTGTGTCCTGCGGTCGGCGGTGGATCGGGCCCGGTCTAGCTGTCGGCGACCGCCTGTGTCCTGCGGTCGGCGGTGGATCTGGCCCGGTCTGGCTGTCGGTGACCGCCTGTGTCCTGTGGTCAGCGGTGGATCTGGCCCGGTCTAGCTGTCGGTGACCGCCTGTGTCCTGTGGTCGGCGGTGGATCTGGCCCGGTCTAGCTGTCGGTGACCGCCTGTGTCCTGTGGTCGGCGGTGGATCTGGCCCGGTCTGGCTGGCGGTGACCGCCTGTGTCCTGTGGTCGGCGTTGGGCCTGGCCTGAGTGGCGGTGGCTTTGTCCTGGCGGGCGGTGACGGCGGCAGACCTGACCCGGTTTGCCGGCGGGGCCGGCGTCTGGAGCGGCCGCTCGGCGGCTGCAGCCGGCCGGCCGATCAATGCGCCGTCGGGGCCGCCCAGCCGGCAGCGGAGAGCCTGGAGATGGCCCCGGAGCCGGCCCGGCGGACCCGGCGCCAGCCCAGCCGGCAGCGGGGAGCCTGGAGATGGCCCCGGAGCCGGCCCGGTGGACCCGGCGCCAGCCCAGCCGGCAGCGGGGAGGCTGGAGATGGCCACGGAGCCGGCCCGGCGGACCCGGCGCCAGCCCAGCCGGCAGCGGGGAGCCTGGAGATGGCCCCGGAGCCGGCCCGGCGGACCCGGCGCCAGCCCAGCCGGCAGCGGGGAGACTGGAGATGGCCCGGAGCGGGCCCGGCGGACCCGGCGCCAGTCCAGCCGGCAGCGGGGAGCCTGGACATGGCCCCGGAGCCGGCCCGGCGGACCCGGCGCCAGCTCCGGCTGAGTCGAGCCGGCCTGGATGAGTGGGACAGGATGGGACGCGGTGGGAATGCGGTTCTGTCGTGCGGGGAGCGGACTCGCACGTGCCGGCTGACCTCTGACCTGACGGCACCTGTCCCTCCGGCTGTCGACCCTCTGTCGCCAGTCATGCACCCGTCTCTCCCCGCTCGTTTCAGCTGATCCGGAGACAGGCTCGGCGGGCCACGTGTAGCCGTTTTTCCGCTCTCTTTCAGCCGGGCAGGACGTAGCGTGGCAGTGTGCCCGTGCCGTGTGGGGCGTCCAGACAGCCAGCGTGTGTGACCGTGTGTTCCTTATTTCAGCCGGTCAAGAGGAGATTGTTCGCCTGCTGGTGCAGGCCGGTGCCAACGTGAACGCGCAGAGCCAGAATGGCTTCACGCCGCTGTACATGGCGGCCCAGGAGAACCACGACGCCGTCGTGCGGTACCTGCTGGCCAACGGCGCCAATCAGAGCATCGCCACAGAGGTGAGGCGGCTCGCGGCGGACCGGCGCCGCACCGCCCGCGGACGGTGCGCGGTGGCCGACACTGCGGCGCGAGCTGACGACACGCAGCGGACTGACACCACACGGCTGAGCTTATACCACGCGGCGGAATGACACCACGCGGTGAAATGACACCACGCGGTGAAATGACACCACGCGGTGAAATGACACCACGCGGCGGACTGACGCCACGCAGCTGAGCTTATACCACGCGGCCAACTGACACCACGCAGCTTAGCTGACACCACGCGGCGGAATGACACCACGCGGTGAAATGACACCACGCGGCGGAATGACACCACGCGGTCAACCGACACCACGCGGCGGAATGCCACCACGCAGCCGAGCTGCCGCCACGCGGCGAGCTGTCAAGAGTGACAGAGCCGGCCGCGCGGGCTCCGCCGCCGGCCTGGGCGCCGAGCTGCGGCTGCCGAGGGGCTTCGAGCCCGCAGCGGTCCCGCCAGTCAGGGGTTTACGGCAGATGGCGCAGTAAAGCCGGAGCAGCGGCGCCAGCCAGACGGGTTGGCAGATGTCCGCCGGCAGAGGCGCCCTCAGGGGTCAGGTAACTGAGCGGCCTGCGGTCCAGGGGGGGGGGGGGACCAGGCTAGAGCCGTCACTCTCTCGCCTACTGCGTAACGGCGGGGTCGGCGGACCCGCCGTCGCCGCGGCGCCCCTCCGCCGCTGGTCGGGTCAGCGGGCTGGCCGCCGGCTATGCGCGGCCTTCGGCCGGGCCCCGGGTGGCGCGCGCAGCTGGCGGTCGCCCGGTCTGACCTCCACAGTCTGGAGGCGGGCCGAGCTCACAGACCAGCGCCGCCGCTGCGAGAGCAAATAAACGGCCGCGGCCGTCGGAGTGTGCCGCCGCCGGCCGCAGCCGGTGTGCCCTCTGACCTCGGGCAGCAGGGTGGGGCGGCTCAGAGGGGGCACGGTCCGGCGCTGGTGCCCCCGAGGGGCTCGGGGTCAGGACCGGCGCCTGCCGGCAGCTTCCGTCTGCGGCGGTTACAGTCGGGGCGCCCGTCGCAGACCGGCGCTCCCGAGCCTGTTAAGGTCCCGTCCGGCCGTCCGTGGCCTGCTCCGGCGGCCGTCCGTGAGCTGAGGCCGGACGTCCGAGCCGCCGGTCCGCTGACCTCTGACCTCCCGGTCCGACCGCGACCGGGCCCGACGCGCCGCCGCCGCCTCACCGCCGAGCGTCGGCGGCGCCATCAGTGGAAATGGCTCCCCCGGGATCGCGGCCCCGGCCGGCTCGACAGGCAGGCAGGCAGGCAGGCGCCGGCGCCGACAGTTTAAACATGCAACGCGTCGTGCTGCTGCATACCGTTGGCGCCGTTGACGGGGAACGACGCCGGCGGCTCCTACAGCTGTGTACCGAGTGCGGCATGCCGTGAAAGCATGCCGCTCGCTCGTGTGGGCACTTGCAGGGCTGTAATGCGTTCAACTAGGCTGCGGAAATCCGACCGCTCACAATGGCGTTTCCCCGGGTACGTGTCGTATACACTTGGCTCGAGACGGCGTGGGGACTAGGCTTTTAGCCTGGTATCTGTGCTGCTGACCTCCCCTGCCCTGGTTGCGGACCTCTCCCGCCGTGGCTGCTGACCTCTCCTGCCGTGGCTGCTGACCACGTCCTGCCGTGGCTGCTGAGCTGACCTCTCCTGCCATAGGTGCTGACCCCTCCCCCCGCGGCTGCTGACCTCTGCTGCCGTGGCCGCCCTATCCAGGCCGTCACGCTGTGTCGGCGCGGTCGTCCGCGGCTCAGCGGGCTGCTGAGCTGTTCCGCCGCCGGCACTTCCCGTGTTCCGTGCCGTCGGCTGCCCGGTGAGGTCGCTTCTCGGGCCGCGCTCCTGCACGGTACTGCTCTGAACCGGCTGCCGTCTGCGCCTCCGTGGCCGGCGCTCAGTGGTCTGCTCCTCGCCCGTCTGCCCCGGCCCTGTCCGGACACCAGTGGCTCCTGGTGGCGTCTAGCTCGCCGCTTATTGCCTGTGGAGGGGGAGGTCCCCTCCTCCGGCGTCCGTCCGTCGGCAGCTCCACCCATTCTCCGCCCTTTCTCTCAACCGGCTGCTCAGCTGATGACAGCTGTCAGCTGACCCCAGCGGGCCGCACCACGTCCCGCCAAGGTATGAGTAGCTCGGTGGGGTAGTTTCTCAGGTTTGTCGCCGTCGCCTTAAGCATTCGTGGCGACTGGAAGTGGTGTGTGTCGGAGCCGTCCGTCATGCGGACGTGAATGGGAGAGGGCGGGGGAGGGGCGTCGGCGACCGGCCTGTGCGGTAGCTGGACGGCCGCCAGGTCGTCTCACGCAGGGGCGGCACGTCACCTGCGCCGACCGTCAGCCTGTCACGGCCGGCGCCGAGCCGGCGTTTGCCGGCCGCGCACTCTGGCCTTGGGCGGCACCAGACGGACGTGACCCAGCTGCGCTCCCGGCCTGCTCCCGGGGCCGGTGCGACCTCCTGGGGGAAGAAGGGCGCTGTGCTCGTCAAGACCCGCCTCCTCCTCCTCCCCCTCCTGTGTGGGCGGAGCAGCGTGGCCTTGCGATCTCATCCTCTCTCGGGGTGGAGACGGAACCACTGGGGCGGACTGTCAGCCAGACAAAATCAAGGAGAAACCTTCACTTTTTTTATAGCGGCTTCAACCCAACAACACTTCTCGCATGACGTGCTGTTCCATTCTGAGGGAGGCGGACGTGTGTTGACTCTGCGCCTGTTGACCTCGGGCCTGCGTCTGCCGGCCGGGCTCGTCTCCGCCGGGCGGCGGGCGGCGACCGGCACCAGACCGCCGGCCGTCACCGCCGTCACCGCCGTCACTGCCGTCACTGGCGGCTGCACGCGCTTGGTGACGGATCGGCCGCACCGGCTGCCGGCCTCATCTGCTTATGGACGCGCGACCATCAGCTAGATTGGGCCGCGGCCGACACGCGCGCCCTCCTCATCGGGGCACCGATTAAGCTTTATTGCGTCGTTTGGTGGGGTTGCCGACCAGATTCGGCATGCTGCGGTCGCTGCGGCTTTATTAGACGTTGGGCAGGTCTGCCTCGGGGTTCCGCGTGCAGCACGTTATCTGCGCCGATGCTTGTCCGACAGACCACAGCGACCTGCGGTCCAGCCGACCGGCTGTCAAGCTAGCTCTCCAGCTGTCCAGCTGTTGAGCCGCTGGTCTGTCGGACTGTCCGGCTGCCCTGCTGTGGACATGTCCAGTTGTCCGGCTGTCCGGCTGTCTCGCTGTTCAGCTGCTGGTCTGTCAGACTGTCCGGCTGTCCCGCGATAGACATGTCCAGTTGTCCGGCTGTCCGGCTGTCCAGCTGTTCAGCTGCTGGCCTGTCGGACTGTCCGGCTGTCCCGCGATGGACATGTCCAGTTGTCCGGCTGTCCGGCTGTCCGGCTGTCCTGCTGTCCTGCTGTCCTGCTGTTCAGCTGCTGGTCTGTCGGACTGTTCGGCTGTCCCGCGGTGGACATGTCCAGCTGTCCGCCTGCCGTGCTGTACAGCTTGCCGGGCGTCTGACCGTGGGACGGTCCCAATGTCAAGTGGCGGGGATGTGGCGGCTGCGCTGCCGTCCGGCGGCCACCTGAGTGGGCGGCTGGCGGCTGATGAGGCCGGTGCCGGTCGACCGCGCCGATTCAGCTCGTCTCGCCGGGCGTCCCGTCTTTGGGAGCGGCTGTCGGGCCGGTTCATCGCCGCCGGAATGGCCCGGCGTCTGGCCGTCTCCGCCGCCGCCTGCGGGGACCGTCTCCGGCCTGCGTGCTCAACGGCGGCGTGCGGGCCATCTCAGGCCGAGGTCTGGGGTCCAAGGAGGCTCAGACTAGGCTCGGCCCGGCCCAGAGCTGATCCTCGGCGCTCGGAGCGGTGCACGCGGCGAACCCGCTGCATTCTGGCCGCCGATGCCGGGCGGCGTGTCAGAGCTGGTACGGGTCGGGCGGTGGCCGGCCGGTGTCAGAGGCTGTACTGGGGCGGCGCCGGCGGGCGTGGCCGATCGATGGCGCGCTGCCGACGGACCGGCGCCGGCCGAACCGACCTGACCCGACCCGACCCGACCCGACCCGACCCGACCTGGCCCAACCCGACCCGACCCAACCGGCCCGACCCGACCTGGCTCGACCCGACCCGGCCTGACCCGACCCGACCCGGGCCGGGTCGGGCCGGGCCGGGCCTAATCGGGCCGGGTCGGCACCGGCACCGGGGTCTGCCTGGCCCACTGTCGATTCGGACCAGGCGGTCGTTCGCCGCCCGCCCATCATTGTGTTGTCCATTGTACCCTCTGATCGGTGATCACTAGCGACCAGGCTCCCGTAACACACGCTGACATTGGCCTAACAATTTGCGCTCCGACCGGCCCTTCATCGATCAACATTGATGGTGAGCAGCACTTCAGCACAACAACACATGAACAGCAGAGCAACCCCGCTGTCCGACTGACACGTGGGCGGCCACTGAGCAGCATTTGACCGCGGGCCATCCCGCCGCCGGAGCAACGGTCATCCAATCACGGCAGCCAGTCAGCTCTAGGCGCCAGCGGCTCATCATCGGTGATTTACGAGCCGGCCAGCAGGCCATCACAGGGGCCGAGCGGGTGGACAGAGCGGCCTCGAGAGCGCCGCCGCGGCCATCGCTCTGGGGCCGGCGAACTGGCTGGAACGCCGCCGCCGGCCGGCTTCTGGGGAGCGGCGCACCGCGTGCCGACAGTGGGCCGGGGCGGGAGGAGGGGTGGGGGAGGGCAACACTTGTGTCAGCCGGCTGGGGTGTGCGTGTGCGGGCCACCGGCCGACAGGTGGCTCGCCGCTGCGACATGCGCCGACGGCGACGACGACGGCGGTGCTGCGCGCTCGCGGCGCCGCGTCAGCATCTCACGACCCGGACGCGGCCCGCACGTCGTACCGTCGCCGAGCCGTGCGCGCTGCGTCGCCAACTGCCATCCTATAGCCCGCAGCACATCACCCATGCATGCCGCGCGAATGCTGAGTTCCTGGTTAGTCGGTACAGCGCGCAGCGCGCCGCCTCATTTGATGCGGTAGACAGCGACAGAGCGGGGTCGCACCCTACGCTCTGTACGCACCTTGTCTGGCCGGTCCGCCGAGCATCGGCACCAGCGCAGCTGGCGGCGCCGGCACCGGCACCGACACACTTCAGCCAGCGCAACTGCCGCCAGCCGGATCTAACGGGCGCCGACACAGCTCGTGACACTGCTGGGGAGAGGCACACGCGACACCTGCTGACCAGGTCGCCGCTGACCACTGACCCGACCTGACCTCTGTCGCCCGCAGGACGGCTTCACGCCGCTGGCGGTGGCGCTACAGCAGGGTCATGACAAGGTGGTGGCCGTGCTGCTGGAGAACGACACGCGCGGCAAGGTGCGCCTGCCCGCCCTCCACATCGCCGCCAAGAAGGACGACTGCAAGTCGGCCGTCCTCCTGCTACAGGTCAGGCCGCCCGGCCAGCCCGGCAAGCCGTGGGCGCTGTCAGCCGACGCCGAGCAGCCGGCGGTGGCTGGTGTTTGTGTTATAGACGCCACACAGCCCAACGCAAGGTGTATGTATGGGGGTCGTGTGGTGTGAAATGCCTCAGTTCACATTCGTCGCGGTCTAGTCCCAGACTGGATCTGCTGGCATTGTTATGCGCCGGGGGGCAGAGATTTGAGCGTGAGCTCCCGGAAAGAAAGTGAAAAAGCGTGGAGATACATTTCGCACTAAGCTTGCTCCGGACCTGCGCCTCTCACCACTCGATCATCATTGTGTGAGACAAATCCCGCGGCGGCCTGTGTGTCTGCTTTGGCCTGCGTGCCCGCTGTGCCCGCTGTATCCGGTGTGTGGCTTGTGTGTGTCCTGTGTGTGGCGTGTGCGGCCGTCCGTGTCGGCCTGCCGCTGACGGCGTCGGTGTGGCGTTACAGAACGACCACAGGTCTGACGTGACGAGCAAGTCCGGCTTCACGCCGCTGTGTCCTGTGTGTGTCCTGTGTGTGGCCTGTGCGGCCGTCCGTGTCGGCCTGCCGCTGACGGCGTCGGTGTGGCGTTACAAAACGACCACAGGTCTGACGTGACGAGCAAGTCCGGCTTCACGCCGCTGTGTCCTGTGTGTGTCCTGTGTGTGGCGTGTGCGGCCGTCCGTGTCGGCCGGCCGCCGCTGACGGCGTCGGTGTGGCGTTACAGAACGACCACAAGTCTGACGTGACGAGCAAGTCCGGCTTCACGCCGCTGCACATCGCCGCTCACTACGGCAACCAGAACATCGCCGCCCTGCTGCTGGACAAGGGCGCCGACATCAACTACATGGCCAAGGTACGGACCCCCGGCTCCCCGGGGAGGCCTCGGCGACGTGGCTGAGGTAGGGCACCCGGTCCTGTGGTCAGCGGGAGACAGACGTTACGAAGCCAGGATAAGGATCATGACCATGGGTTCGTGGAAGGTGGAACATGGCTAAGATCCCGTTTGACAAATCCCAGAGTCGCCAACTCTGGGACAGGGTAGCCGCCTCACCCACACAGCAAAGGTAGCGACTCACCACCTGTCTCGGGGACGACTCTTTTCTGCCTACTTCTTACTTTCATTCGACCGCGGAGAGGGCTCGCCACGTCTCCTGGGTCGCAGCGTCATCCTGTCGCGGCGATCCGCTGTCCGGTGTAGGCGAGGCTCATAGGATGCTGTGTGATCACCGCGTCATTGTTTGATCCCGAAGGCCGTGCCGTACCGCCAGCCGCGTTTGACTGTGAGCCAAGCGAGCAGCGTGACTCGCCAGCGCGTGACGGCGTGACGTGACATGGACGCGCGTCCGGCAGCACCACATCACGCCGCTGCACGTGGCAGCCAAGTGGGGCAAGGCCAACATGGTGACGCTGCTCTGCGAGCGGGGCGCCAACCAGGAAGCGAAGACGCGGGACGGCCTGACGCCGCTGCACTGCGCTGCCCGCTCCGGCCACGAGAACGTGGTCGACCTGCTGCTCGAGAAGGGCGCCTTCATCTCGGCCAAGACCAAGGTGGCTGACGTAGGGGAGAGAAGGGAGACGGGGGAGAGGGAGGCCCGGCTGTACGGGGTATATGTCACTGGTCTGTGGTCTGTCGGTCTGTCGTGTCCGCTGGTCTTCAGCGTGGGATGTCAGCTGTCGGGGTAGCTGGTCCGTGCGCCGAGCGCCGCCTGGTCTCTGATGCGGTGTCTCTCCCTGTAGTCAGTGTGGCTGCTGCTCCTCCTTGGTACTTCCATTGTGCGTGACTTTCTAAAACGCGGCGATGCGGCGTCATGGCTGATACTGCACGTGTCAAAGATTAATTATGTGCACTGAGTGACGGTTTTTGGTGGTGTAGTGATGTGGCGGCGGCATGACACCGACACAGACCCGCCCCGTATGACCGCCCCTCGTGTACACGCCCCTGTCCGGAGAGCTGCACCGTTGCACACCGCCGCGCCCAGTCAGAGCCTGACACAGCCGTCTCCGGCGTCTGCCCCCGCTGCTGCCGGTGCTCGCCCCCTGGTGTGTTCACCAGTCGCCGCCGTCCCTGCGGTGCGGTGGCGCCCCTCCCGATGGCGTGGACGCCGCCTCCTCGCCGCGCACGGCTGTGCCCGGCCGTTGTCGCGCCGTTCTGAGCAGGCGCCGCCGGGTGTCGCGGGCGCCCCAGGAGGAGCACCGAGATGCCCACATTTGAGACTGTCGAGACCGGTGTGGTGTTGGAGCCGCCCGTCAGATGTACTCCCGCTGTGCTGTGCCGGGCTGTGCTGTCCCTGCCGGGCTGGGCGCTGGGAGCCGCCGACGGGTCGCGTTTCTGCCGAGTGTTGTGTTATCTTATGGCGAGCTTGGCTCTCGTCCCCGGGTGGTCCGGGTTTCCCCTCACATGTGGCCGGCTGGGAACCGGTCTTGTTTATGCATGCCACGCTGTTGAGACGAAAGCACCGCAGCGTTTGGCATCGCCGCTCTTCTGACCCGACCTGCGACTAACCTGACCTGACCTCCGCAGAACGGCCTGACGCCGCTGCACATGTCGGCCCAGGGCGACCACGTGGACGCTGCGCGCATCCTCTTCTACCACAAAGCGCCCGTCGATGACGTCACGGTCGACTACCTGACGGCGCTGCACGTGGCCGGTACGTGGCACGTGACGTGGCACGTGGCCGGCGCGCGACCGCCGCTGCGGCGCTCTGCGCGCCGGCCGCATGTGCTTACCGCTGTGGTGACAGCCGCTGTCGGCCTCTGAGGCGCTGCAGGCGGGGCCGATGCTGTCGGGACGCTGTCGAAGCTGTCGGGACGCTGTCGGGACGCTGTCAAAGTTGTCGGGACGCTGTTGGGACGCTTTCGAATGCTGTCGAGATAGGTCCGAGATAGGTCGAGATAGGTCCGAGATAGGTCGAGATAGGTCGTGACACTGTCGAGATACGGTCGAGGCGCTATCGAGCCGCTGTCGCGATGAGCCGTCGCCTCGCGCGACGAAGACCAGACGGCGTGGACTGACGGCCCTCGAGCCTCAGTAGGTCATGTCTGGCCAGCACTCGTCAGAGCGTGACGGGTGGTCTGTTCGAAGGCTCCGTGGCCGCGGTGCTCGCCGCCGACTACGCGTGCGGCAGGGCTACGTGGCTGTCGCCGGCTGACGGTGCCCACCCGCCACCTCTGGGCGGTGTCTGTATGACCTGTGCTTCCCACAGTCAGCTGCCTACTGGACGTGCGGGGCTCTGGCTGCCCGCTGTCACGTAGGCCGTCGCCTGCCGCCGCCTGCCGTCGGGGGGCTGCCTCCTCCTCTGTCGCGTGTCTGAGCGTGATGTCCCCCTTCGGCAGCACACTGTGGCCACGTCAAGGTGGCCAAGCTGCTGCTGGACCGACACGCCGACCCCAACTCGCGGGCGCTGAACGGCTTCACGCCGCTGCACATCGCCTGCAAGAAGAACCGCATCGAGGTGGTGGAGCTGCTGCTCAAGTACGGCGCCAACATCGAGGCCACCACCGAGGTCAGTGGAGGGCGAGATCACGCGGGGAGTTCGGGGTCGGCGATGTCACACGGGGGAGGTCAGGGGCGGCGAGATTACGCTGGGATGTCAGTTGAGGGCGAGGTCGCGCGGGAGATGTCAGGGGGCGGCGAAATATACTGACCGTCGGCGGTGCGTGGGTTGGGAGGCGTTCGCGAGGTCACTGGAGGGCTGCGCTCAGAGAGGTTACGTTAAACATTATGATGTGTCGATGTGGTAACAACACTTACTGGTGGTTTCCTCTTGATCAATTCGAACAATGCAAGGGACAGAGAGTGAAGTCATTGAATACTGACCGTATCTTATTGGGAAGGAAGGCAACCACAACGCGCTACAGTTACGTGTCCTCGCTAAGGTGTGGTCCTGCTCGCGTCAATGTGGCGGGCCGGGCGGCGGTCGGGGCCGGCCGGCGGTCATCGGTGCCGACCGCCGACGGTGCCGGCTGGTGTGCGCCGCCGTCTGACCGGCGCGTCTCCTCCCTCCGCAGTCGGGCCTGACGCCACTTCACGTGGCCTCCTTCATGGGCTGCATGAACATCGTCATCTACCTGCTGCAGCACGACGCCAAACCTAACCACGCCACAGTGCGCGGCGAGACGCCGCTGCACCTGGCGGCGCGCGCCAACCAGGCCGACATCATCCGCATCCTGCTGAGGAACAGGGCCGAGGTGGACGCCCGAGCTCGGGTCAGTCGGCGGCCGGCGACGGATGGCGCCCCGCGGACGTCACCGGGGCTGGGGGTGGGGCTGTCGGGACGCTGCAGGAGTCGCGGGTGACGTGCTGGACACGGTCCGCGCCGGGTGCATGATAGATGCTCAGGCAATGACGGCGGTGGGTCGAATGTCGCATTGGAACGACCCCCGTTAGTTCGTCACGGCGCCTTTGCCGCCCCAGGCGGCACTGTGTCCTGTATTTGCTATTCCGCGCTGGGGAGCTGCGGGCTGATCTGTGCGCCCTCTGTCGCGTGGTCAGGATCAGCACATGGAGTCTGATGTTTCGCCATGTATAGGATCAGCAGCAGCAGCAGTCTGACCCGTTCCACCCCTCCCTGTGTACCACAACAGTCTGACCCATGTCATCCCTCCTGTGTATGGCAGCGGTCTGACCCGTGTCATCCTTCCCTCTGTACCGCAGCAGTCTGACCCGTGCCACCCATCCCTGTGTATGGAAGCGGTCTGACCCGTGCCACCCCTCCCGATGTACCGCAGCAGCAGCGGCAGCGGTCTGACCCATGCCACCCATCCCTGTGTACCACATCAGTCTGACCCGTGCCACCCCTCCCGGTGTACCGCAGGAGCAGCAGCAGCGGTCTGACCCGTGCCACCCCTCCCTGTGTACCACAGCAGTCTGACCCGTGCCACCCCTCCCTGTGTACCGCAGCGGTCTGACCCGTGCCGCCCCTCTCTTTGTACCACAGGAGCAGCAGACACCTCTTCACATTGCTGCCCGGCTGGGCAACGCCGACATAGTGATGATGCTGCTGCAGCACGGCGCCGCCGTCGACTCGACCACCAAGGACCTGTACACGGCGCTGCACATCGCCGCCAAGGAGGGCCAGGACGAGGTCAGCCACGTGCTGGACATGGCCCAGCAGCTCTGTCTCTTTATCAGCAACGGCTACCTGGCCGAGCGAATCCGTGCGAGGCTGGCGGCGCTAGAGACCGGTTCCGAGCCGGCCTGAGGGCCGCGGCCGGCACGCAGGCGCGCGATCGCTCGCTCGCGGGGTGCGGCACCTGCCGGCAGGGACGCACAGTATCTATAGAGCCTGCAAGGCTCGGGTGGCTCAATTGTAATAGGTTGTAGAAATGTTGTAGTCACGGTTTGCTAGTGGTGTAGCTGCAGGAACAATTTGGCGTCGCAAGATCGGAAAGATTGGACACAGCATGATGCACTGCTCAGGCTTGCATGTGAAATGCAGTGGTTGGCTTGTGCATTGTTTCCATCACCTAGATGAAAAATCTGGAAAACAGCTGAAAAAGATCGGTGAAAAACGTTCGACCCTGGCAGGACTCGAACCTGCAGTCTCCGGATTCGGAATCCGACGCCTTATCCATTAGGCCACAGGGCCGGCGGGGTGCGGGGCGGCAACACAACAATACATCCAAAGGGAACGTGAGGAGTGAACGTGCTTGTCGGCTCGGAAGGTCGAAATCTGAATGGGCTGCTTCTTTCGGATATCAATCATTTCGTACACGGCGACAACAGATGACAAGGAATAGCTGTTTGCTCCCATCAAGCACGTCGAATTTTACCGTCCCAGGAGTGCCTAGGATGCTTCAGTTCAAAAACGTTAGTTGTGGCATTACGTGAGATTGCGCATGTATTGGTGATGTGTGACCGCGGCCTGCTGGAGCCGTGCAATGAAGCAGGAAGCTTACTTACCCCTGAGTGCGTTCCAAGCAGAGGAAAAGGTGCCTTCGCTCGGCACCCGGGATTCATAGACGATGGACATGGCCACCTGGCGCAACACAATATTTATGCGGAGATGGACAAAACAATTTCAGACCAACTTGAAATCAGGTACATGTTTACACACGACAGGCTTGCTGGCGTCCTGCTTCAGCTCCGTGTGTACAGCTCCCTGAGCTGTGGTGGCCGCGTGGCGGCGCTGTTTCTAGTACTCCCCCTACTTCCAACCGTGCCAGCACTGCGCTATCGGCAGTGAGTACAAATGGGCGCGGCGCACGCGGAGAGGACAGGCTGCGCGCGCGCGTGGCCGCCGGCTGGCGATCAGCCGGGGGTGGCGTCACTGCGGCGGCCTGTGGCAGCCGCACCTCCGCTGGTGCGCGCTGGTGCAGCTCGGCGACGCCCAGCGGGCAGGTGACGGCAGGGCCAGTGTGAGACGCCTCGGCCGCTCTCACCGCTGGTGCGCGCTAGTGTAGCTCGGCGACGCCCAGCGGGCAGGCGACGGCAGGGCCAGTGGCGGACGACTCGGCCGCTCTCGCCGCTGGTGCGCGCTGGTGTAGCTCGGCGACGCCCAGCTGGCAGGTGACGGCAGGGCCTGTGGCGGACGACTCGGCCCCTCTCGCCGCTGGTGCGCGCTGGTGTAGCTCGGCGACGCCCGGTTAGTAGGTGGCAGCAGGGCTAGCGTGGGACGCCTCGGCCACTCTCGCCGCTGGTGCGGGCTGGTGCAGCTCGGCAACGCCCGGTTGGTAGGTGGCAGCAGGGTTAGTGGCGGACGCCTCGACCGCTCTCGCCGCTGGCCAGGGGTACGCCGCGGCGCCGACTCCAGGGCAGCACGGCATCACGTGACCGTGCTGCCGCGTGCGGCGGGCCGTTCGGCCCGCGCCGGACGATGCTATGCTTGTCACACGGGGCACTCTTAAGAGCAGCCGGAGACCCCCAGTAACGTCGTGATCATTAACACTAGGCCGATGACGATGCAGCGCCAGAGGGGCTGCAGAAAGTTCGAACATTCTGTGGGATCCCCATCCACAGTCATGGGCGGATAACTCTCGCGCGGTGGACGCCATCGGCGCTGTACCGGTGCTGTACGGCCGGGCCGGGCTGGCGGTCTGCCGGCGCGGCGCAGGCCCGGCCGAGGTCGGGTCATTGGGGTCGGCGGCTCCGCTGCGTCCGGCCGGCAGGTGACGCGAGTGCCCTTCGGAGAACACGGCCGGCGGCGGCTTCCGGGCAGTGACATCAGTACTTCAGATGTTTATAGTGCGGACATGTGATATTTCACCCAAGCGCCTTACCGTGCGATACTGGTGCCGATGAACGGACATGGCCGTACCAGCAGGTCACGGAGTGTGATTCGATGCATGGGATTTGATGCCCGAGGAGCGGCTGTTCACTGCGCTCCATATGCCACTCGATCTATGTGCTGTCGGCTTCCTGTGGGAGCACGTTAACCTCAGGGATGGAGCTGGGTCCGTGTTGAAGTTGAGAACTTTTGGAGCCGCGGGAGCCAACCTCTCCCCACAGTACGGATGGCTCCGCCCACGACTGGCCCGCGTTAGCAGGCGTGCAGAGCCCAGCTCGGCGTGGCCTGCCGGTCGGCACGCCCTCAGTCTCACGCGCCAGTCGGGCGCTCAGTCACGCCCCCAGTCTCACGCGTCAGTCGGGGGCTCAATAACGCCTTCAGTCTCACGCGTCAGCCAGGCGCTCAGTCACGCCCTCAGTCTCACGCGTCAGTCGGGGGAATCAGGCCAGGCAGCGGCGCGCCGCCGTCACGTCTGTTGCGATTTGCCGTGCCGGTGAGGCCGCGGCTTGAGTGATCGAGTCAGCTGGCGCGCGGCCACGCTACGACGGCGGCCTTGTGTCTGCCGGCACGGCACGTTAGGTGGCGTACGGCTGATGTGACCGGCCGATGGTCTGGCGCTGGCCGGCTCTGGCCCGCACTGATCTGGTGGGGTCCCGCATTGGCCTGGTGGGGTCCCGCGCTGGTGTGTTGATCCCCGCACTGGTCTGGTGGGTCCCACACCTGGTGGGTCCCGCACTGGTCTGATGATCCCCGCACTGGTCTGATGAGTTTCCGCCTGGTCTGGCGGGTTCCCGTACTGATCTGGTGGGGTCCTGTACTGGTCTGGTGGGCCCGCACTGGTCTGAAGAGTTTCCACCTGGTCTGGTGGGGTCCCGCACTGGTCTAGTGGGTCCCGGTCCAGCTGCGGCTGCTAGGAGCGGGGCCTCTCGCAAGGGGCCGTGACACGTGACGGGACCGGCCCGGACACCCGGAGGGGTGCCAACCCATCCTCGTGCACAAAAGCAGTATTGTCTCGCAGGCCTGCCACATGCCACATGTTACCCAGACACTCCATTGTGTTCTGTTGTGCATTCTCTACCTCATGTTGAGTGCGCTACTTGATACTCTTGGTTGTCCTGTCGCTCTGTTTCGTTATCCGCTCTCTGCGCTCCACTTGGTTCTCTGTTTGTTATTCAGCATTGTGTAATCGTGAGCCCGTGTTGTTTACTGTCCGTTTCTTCGCGAACGCTTGCGGTGACTTGATAGATTCCCTGGCGGAAGATCGTGTATATACCGTTGTTCAGTTGTCCCCCTCAGGTATTGTTATTCGGCGAGGACCTTGACCACGTTCGGCGCTCGCAGGCGGCCATAATGACGTGGCGGCCTGCGCACGTGACGCCCCGGCGCCACGTGCACAGCCCTGTATTGTTTCGTTGCTGGCCGCAGTCACGCCCCGGGTGGGTCCTCCTTCGAGAGTGCGCTCTCAGAGTACGCACACAGTGTAGGCTCAGTCTTGCTCCAGTGTGTGACCGGTGTGATCCCTGCGTAAGCTCGGCGTAAGCTGGGCGCGAGCTTGGCGTGATCCTTGCGTAATCGGCGGGGCGGCGGCCGTCGGTCTGGGCTCCGCGCCGTGCCCGTCAGGCAGGCGAGCCCGTGTCGCTGGAGGCTCGGCCTGTCCGTGGCGCCGTTTGCTGTGGCCACGCTGTACCGCCGTTCGGAGTGTTCCCAATATACGCGTCCGGCGCCGCCCGCCTCTCTCTGTCTGCCTGTCCCGACCGCCGCCCGCCGTCCGCCGTCCGCCGCCCGCCGCTCGCCGCGCGCCGGCGCCGGTCTGCCGAGTGGCGGCCCGGGGCACAGCCCGACCGGCCGGGGCGGGGCTGGCCAGGCGGCGCCACCGTACACACGGTATTAATAGCTGGGCCGGCCCAGTTGGCGGCCGGCCCGCCGCTCCGCTCGGCGGCACGCGCCCCGCTCGCCCGTGTCCCGCTGTCCCGCCAGACCAACACCGACGGCTGAAGGCCTTGGCACGGCTTTGGCACGCAGCTGGGTGCTCGGACCACGTGACTTTATGCGGGATCACCGCCTGCGGGATGATGGCGTCGTGGGCCGACTGCAAAGAACTGGCGATGACGTTGACTCGAAACAAGCGGGGGAAGCTATGAACGGCGCGCTGCGTTTCCGCAACCAGTGACCAATCACAGCAGCTGATGCAGCACTCGTGAACGTCAGACTTGGTTCACGTCTGAATCGCATTGTTCTGGTAAAGGCCTTCCGAATAAGAAGAGGGACAGATTTCGCATGGTATTGTATGTTCTCGTTTTGGGCAAAGTATACAGTTGTACGAGACGTTCTTCGGCATAAACCACCCCGCGCGACCGTGCCCGTACTTACGCTTTGAATATGTGTCGACAGGTGGCGCAGGTGCTGATGGAGCACGGCGCCTCGCTGTCGGCGGTGACCAAGAAGGGCTTCACGCCGCTCCACCTGGCGGCCAAGTACGGCAACATCCGCGTGGCCAAGACGCTGCTGGCCAAGGACGCTCCGGTCGACGCCCAGGGCAAGGTCAGCTGACCCCGCTCCCTCACCCTCTGTGGGTACCCCTCCCCTCGCCAGCTGCGACGAGTCGAGCGGCGCCACTGCGGGACGCTTAGCGGTGTGTAGGTGGCAGCAGCAGTCTGTCGGCGCTAGCAGGGGTAGTTTGTGGACGGGCGCGCCGTGTCGCGTTGTTGATGGCCCCGCTCCGAGCGTGCAATTCAGGGCGAGAAGTACCCGCTAGTGATTGGTTTTAAGGGCCCGATCAGTGCTGTGACATGATCCTAGCGTTGGTCAGGTTGTCGGCTACACCAAGAACAACATGAAAACGACACTTGCCGACCAGCCAAACCAACGCTCGGGGTTCGACAGAGCCCAGACACCTATCTGGCTGCTCCTGGTCGCTGTGACAGGGGCGGGGCGGAGCGTCACCCGGCGGGACCCGAGCTCCCCGCAGACCATGAACGCTGTGTTTGCCGGCTCCCCCTCCCCTCGGCTGACCTGCGTCTGTGCTGCCGCCGACAGAACGGCGTGACGCCGCTGCATGTGGCGGCCCACTTCGACCACCAGCAGGTGGCGCTGCTGCTGCTGGAGAAGGGCGCCTCCGTCAGGGCCACGGCCAAGAACGGCTACACACCCCTGCATATCGCCGCCAAGAAGAACCAGGTCAGTCCGCGGCCGGGCGGGCGGGCGTCGCCACTCGGTCGGTCCGGACGGGCCAGGCGGCTGCGCCGGAGTAGGACACCGGTCACATTCGGCCAATGTTTGAGGCTCTTCTCGGCCGGTGCGTGTGTGTGTTGTTCGGCCGCAATCTCGGCGTCAGCGTGCTGCGCGCTGTCCCGCTGCCCGGCCTCTGCCGGCGGTGGCGGCGGCGTGTCAGCAGGACCGCGTGTGGGCGCTGCGCCGCGCCCTCCGCTGACGCGCCGCGCTCTGTCCGCCGCCAGATGGACATTGCCACCACGCTGCTGGAGTACGGCGCCGAGACCAACTGCGAGTCGAAGGCGGGCTTCACGCCGCTGCACCTGGCCGCCCAGGAGGGCCACGCCGACATGGCCACGCTGCTGATCGAGCACAAGGCCGACGCCAACCACCGCGCCAAGGTGACGCGGCGCCTACTGACGCCGTCACACGCGCGCCGTCACGTGACGCTGACTCAGTCTCTGGCCGGCCTGTCTGCGCGTGCTCCGGTGGACTCTGCTGCCGGCTCACACACCCACCTGCGTACTGGCCTGCGCCGGTGGCCGCTCGTTCCACGCGCCTGACACGCGCGGTCTCTTGCCCTGGCGCTCACCTGGTCTCTCACGGCCGGCTCACTCGCGTGTCAGGTGGCTAATTCTAGCGTTCGCCCGTGGTCATGCCAATCTGCTCGCTCATTCGGCCAACAGCAGCTCGCCCGTGTGTGGCCGATCCAGTGGTTCTTCCCCAACAGCCTGGGGCTCACAAAAACCGACCCGTTTATTAGAAGTCTGTGCGGCCACTTTGTGTGGAAGGGCCTGTCAGTGTGGGTATCGGAAGTTTGTGCCCGGCGGACAGACTCTGTGGCGTGTTCCGAGCTTCTTCCACGCCGGCCGCCTCAGACCGACCGCCACTGCTGACAATGGGAGTCGTGCCATTCTATCAAACCCGAGTGCGAATCGATGCCATCGGAGTAGGTGTACGAATATTGTAGTCGAAAACGAGCGAATTCTGTCACGTGCTCTGTGATTGTGGGGCGATGCTGAACTGCTGTTGTGTGTGGATGAGCCCCTGGCTGGAGCCCAGAGCTGATTGTCTGCCGCTCGTGCGCGCCGCACTGCGCCTGCTGGCAGTGCGCCCCCGTCTGCCCGTGTCACCGATGACACCGATGCCAGCGCGTGCCCCCGGCGTCGGCGGCAGTCGTGCTGACCGTGTGCGCGCGCTCCTGTGCTACCGCAGAACGGCCTGACGCCGCTGCACCTGTGCGCCCAAGAGGACCGGGTGCCGGTGGCGGCCATCCTGGTGAAGAACGGCGCCGAGGTGGGCCCGGAGACGGCCGCCGGCTACACGCCGCTCCACGTGGCCTCGCACTTCGGCCAGCTGAACATGGTCCGCTTCCTGCTGCAGCACCAGGCTGAGGTGGGTCCTCCGCCGGCTGCAGCCCCCGGCGGTGGGGGTGACGGATGACGCCCGAAGCGTTCTGAGCTCTGAGAGCTCTGAACTGAGACAGCCTGAGCTGCCCTGAGCTGTGAGACAGCCTGTGCTGCGGTCTGTGTCCTGCCCTGCTGCGTGTGTTCTGTGTCCGGGTGTGTCCTGTGCCGTCGGCCCGCCTCCGAGGGCGTGACATCGGCTGACCTCTGCTGACCTGCCGTCGGGCCGCCAGGTGAACCCGGTGACGTCGGCCGGCTACACGCCGCTGCACCAGGCCGCCCAGCAAGGACACACACTCATCATCAACCTGCTGCTCGAACACAAGGCCCAGCCGAATGCCGTCACCAACGTGAGTCGGTCGCTCGCCCGGGGGAACGGCCGATGCCGGAGTCGCAGTCCCACCAGTGCCGGGGCGTCGTCTGATGTCAACTATCAAATTCATCGAACGCGGTGGAGTGGTCGCACGTGGAGTGGGCGGTCGCGGGGGGAAGGGGGGGGGGGGGGGGGAGGCAGCAGGTGCAGCGGACCGCCGTTCGCCAGCTGAAGGGTAGCACCAGCTCCGATTCCAACGCTGGTGCGAGTGATCCGAACTCGGCGCCCCCCGCCCGCCGTGGCTGGAGCTGCAGTTTGTCTCGGTCCTGGGGTCAGAGATGGGGCATTACCACCGTGTAGGGCGCGGCACGGCGCCGCAGTGGCCCTGTAAGGGCGCCCGGGGTGTCGGGATCCTGCCCTGGGGCCGGGCGGGGACCCCGGCCTTCTGTGTGGCGAGGCGGGCCAGCCGGCGACGGTCCAGCCGTGGCTGCTGGATGGTGATCCGCCGCCGTCACCGCCGCCGCCGCCGCCGCCGCCGCCGGCTCCGGTGTCGGGCCGGATTCCAGCCGCCCCACGCTATCCACGGTCCGCGCCGCCACATGGCCGTGCCGAGCTGTGGCCGGTGCGCTGGACGGGCCGACGTCCCGCTATCGTTAGGGGATGTCTCTCCCGCTGTCAGCTGCCCGGCGACGCGGCCGGTCACCTCGGGTCAGAGCCCGGTAGTGGTCTCTGTGGCTGCCGCGGTCCCGGGGACCGCCCCCGCCCCCGCCCCCGCGGCCGCCCCCGTCTCACCGCTGCCGAACCACACTGTTACCGTCCCGGGACCGCCTCGCCCCTGCGGCCGCCGCCGTCTCACTGTTGCTGAACCACACTGTTACCGTCCCGGGACCGCCTCGCCCCTGTGGCCACCGCCGTCTCACTGCTGCTGAGCCACACTGCTACCGTCCCGGGACCGCCCCCGCCCCCCGCGGCCACCGCCGTCTCGCCGCTGCCGAACCACACTGTTACCGTTCCGGCAAAGCCGTCGACGGAAACATGCTCAGTTGTATTTATAATACGGTAACATAATCCATATACGAGTGCTCTTTCGACTCAGCATAAACACTGCTGTCGGGGACAGTTCTCGGATGCTGGGCCATGGCGCCGCACAGTCTGTCCGAGCCGAGCCGAGGTAGGGCCTTAGTTGACGAGCTTCTCTGAAATAAAACAACAGAGCAAAGGAAAAGGATTCGTGCTGTGTGAAGGCTTCACCGCACACAGTTGCCCCTCGCCATGTTGTTAGATCTGTTGGTCGCGCCATGTGCGCTGTTTATGTTCTGCCAGTCTGTGTCGTGTTGAAGCCGTCGTGTGCTCTGGGTGCTGCGGCCCTCACGCAGCGGTAGTGTCGGTGCACGTGCGGCCGGGCGCGGACCCCGCGCCGCCGCTCTCGCTCTCTCGCCGTCTAACACGGCCGTCGCCCTGCGCCGCCGCAGTCGGGCCAGACGGCGCTCTCGATCGCCCAGCGCCTCGGCTACATCTCGGTGGTGGAGACGCTGAAGGTGGTGACGGAGACGGTCATCACCACCACCACCACCACCGTCACTGAGGAGAAGTACAAGGTGGTGGCGCCCGAGACCATGCAGGAGGCCTTCCTCAGCGACAGCGAGGACGAAGGAGGTGGGTTATGGGCGGCTGGTGGCCCCGGGTCATGTTGTGGCCCGCAGCCTCCCTCCTGCCTGGTAACCGTCAGGGCGGGTTATGTGTGGCTGGTGCCAGTGTGCTCCAGGGGGTGGAGGGAGTCATCCAGCTTTGCGAGGTGCTGGTTACTTATCTTCAGGTATGGCTGGTTGTCGGTGCCGCGTATTTGTATGTTATTTCTTGTGTGCGTATGGAGCAGCTGCAAGTGCCTGGCTGATGGCTTCTCTGCTTTCCGCGTCATTCACTTATCCCTTTGTTGTCAATTCAGCTTTGCCATGGACACGGCGTTACTGGCTGTGTCGCCGGCTGACGCTGTTTTCTTTACCGTTTCTCGCACCTGCTGCGCTCGCTGCACCATAGATAAGCGTCTCTTCTATACGTACTCGTTTGGTATTCTTAGCATTATGGCTCGGTAGTCCATGACGCCAGGAGGCCGTGGCGAGACCTCGCTCCCCGTCCGTGTGCTGCTCCATTGAGAGACCCTCAAGAGGCGACCTCACGGACCACCCTCAAGAGGCGACCCGCTTGAGGGTGGTCCGTGCGGAGCCGGCGTTGGCGCCGGCGCCGGCGGACCGTTCAGCCGACCGGCGGGGACCGAGGTCTCGCTGTCCCTCCACTCGGGAGCGGCGGCCGCGCCCTCCGCCGTGTGACCTGTGACCTGACGCCGCGTGTCGCGCGCCAGGCGACGACTTCCTCGACTCGGCCGTGTACGGTAAACCGTCTAACGCCCAGCACGTGTACCTGCCCTATTACGAGGGCCAGATGGAGCTGAGCAGTAAGTGGCGCGTGAGAGACCCTACCCGCCGCGGGACGGTGCGCCCGCCCGCCCGCCCGCCCGCCCGCCGACCGTGCCACGCGAGCGAGGCTACGTCCGGGGAGGGGGCAGACCCAGTCACCGGTCCTGGCCCGCCAGTCGGCTCCGAGGATTGAATGTGAAGTCTCACGACAGTTCTGGGAGGGACACCGCCGTCCCATCCCCTGCCAAGGACCGTGAAGACGGGCGGGCCCTCCACACTCACTCACGGCTGCTGGGGCCGCATCCTGCAAACGATGTTCAACGTAACGGAGTAGTGACATTCAGTTAGCATTTCACTCACTCATACCGGCTGCCATTGGCCAGAACGTATGAATGTGATGCGATCATGGCATCTCGTGACACGTCGGATACGCTACACTGCGCACGACAGCGGCGGTGAGCCTCCGTCACCGCGGTCCGGTCGCCGCGGTGTGGCACGGTCAGCGGTGGCGGCGCGCGCGTGTGGCACCGGCATGGCCTGTTCGTCCCTGCATGCTCCCTCGACAGGAGGAGGCCGCCGCCCCGGGCCGGGGCGGTCCGGCCGGCACCGCTAACCCGCTGACCGCGGCGTGTGTGCGTGTGCGTGTGCGTGTGTGGCTGCGGCTAGGCCGTGTCTCCGGGCCGTGGCCTGCTGGTGCCGTGGCGTGACCGTCGGCCGGTCGGCCCGACTGCTGTGGTACTAACGCGGAGCGCCGCCCCCCGACGCCGGCCCGGCCCGCCGGCGGCACCGGCCTGCCGGGCCGGGCCGGGCCGGCGCCAGCATGCGAGGGCCGGCGGGTTAACCGGCGCCGCAGGTCACGGCGTTGTGTGCGGTGTGGGGAGGATGGCGAGACACCGCCAGACTCGTCTGGTACTGACGGCGAGGTCAGGGGACCATCCCCTGCCCCCTCCGCCAGACTCCCTCCGCCCCGAACTGCGGGGTAACCCGACCTTCTACCTGGCCTCCCCGCCAGACTCGTCTGGCACGGACGGTGGGGTCAGCGGACCCTTCGCCTGTCCTTCCCGTCAGACTCCCCCTGTCCCTGACCCCGACCCTGAGTTACCGGACCCTCTACCTTCCCTCCCGGCCAAACGTCAGGCAGAACACTTCCAGAGCCTCTGCATACCCTGCGACACCGCGATTGGCTTTGTGAGCGCGTTTGGTGCCGAGTGGCACCGCTGACGTCGCCCATTTGGCAGACAGTCTGCCCCTCCCTCGGGGTGAGGGGTCTGACAAACGCGGCGCCGGCCCCAGCGGTCTCCCATTCTGCGGCAGTGTGTTGTGGGTCAGGCCGGCGCCGCCGGGCTGGTGGCAGCGGTGCCAGTCTCGTTGTGATGTGAGTGACGTCATCTCGCGCCTGGGCCCGCTCGCGGCGCCGGTTTGATCTCATCGCGGAACATGTTGGCTTTCACGAGTTCGCCAGCGTATTTCTGCCACGCCTGCGCCGGGGAACGTGAGGCGAGTTCAAATGGGTTACTTTAAGCTCCCAGCTGCCTGCTGAACTCTAGCTGCACTTGAGCACAGGCCGGGTAGCGACTTTGCCGCCATCTGCAAATGATCAACATTCTCTAGAAGCCGGTGCCGAACGTATTTTCATCTGCCGCGCTATTCGTCGAGTAAGCTGTTGGTCGGTGGCAGACCCGTTGCACGAGCTGATGAGCCGAGCATATTTGGCTGCTGCGTGATCCAGTAGCTGGTCCGCCAAGGCCGGCTCCCGGGAGGGGCGGTCCCGCCCCGAGCGCGGTGTCAACAGCCGGACGCGTGCGCCCGGCAGCCGGCGCGGACGGAGCCGCCGCCGGTCCGGCCGACACGGCTGCCACGGCCGGCTGCCGTCCAGCGGCGGTGTCCGGTGTCAGCTGTCAGGGGCGGTGTCAGGGGTCACGCCATGCCAGGGACCAGGGCAGGTCAGCCCACCTGACCTAGCTCCCAGCGCGGGGGTCGGTCCGCCTCACCGCGCCGTTTTTCTGCTTTCGGAGCGACTCCGGTCAGCGCGCCGCCGGTCCGGCCTTGGCCGAGTCTGCCGCGCGTCGCGCAGCGCTCGCCCCGCGCCGCAGCCGCCGGCTGTCGGAGGGCCGGCGCGGACGCCGCTGACGGCCGTCTGCCGGGGGCGGACCGGCCCGGCCCGGCGCCGCGCCGTTGCCTTTTCCAGCCGCCATCAAAACAGAGATACGTGGGACGTTACGAGCGCAGATACACTTTGCCGGGCCGGTGGGCCCGTCGTTGGGCGCGGGTTACGATCGGCATTGGGCGGCTACGTTCTCGCTGGCGGCAGCGTGTAAGGTCACGTGCGACTGGCGCGGAGGGGCGGAGGGCGGGATCACGACCGGTGGGAGCCCTCGCCCCCCCCCCCCCCCCCCGGCTCGCTGCCGAGCTTACCGGCAAAAGCCGCCGCTCCCTCACGCCGCGTCACTCCGCGGGGGGCGGGTGGCCGCTGGTACCGCCGGATCCGTGACGTAGTGGCGTAGCCCAGCTGCGGGAGCGTGCGCCCTCAGACGGCCGGGCGCTGGCGCGGCGTGGGCTCGAGCTATCGTGCTGCTGTTTAGCCGCCGGCCGATTTGATCGGCGCCAGGGGCTGCAACTGTAATGACGGTAGCGTGTTTGACGTAGAGCTCAGGTTTCACGCCGTTGCTTCGTAGCATATCCCTAAAGTCTGGGGGCGCTCGTGCCGCCCCGCCCCCGGTTCAAGGGACGCTCATGCCGCCTTGTCCTCGACTCTAGGGACGCCTGTGCCACCGGACGTCCGCCCCACCCGGCCCGTCGTCCATCAGCGGCGCTTAATCTGCGCCGACGGGTGACGGCCGTTTGTGTGAGCGCTGTCGTGATTTGCATTGATGGGAAACAATGGGGGGCGTGTCGCGAGCGGCGGGCGGCGGATCCGCGAGGCGGCGGCGCGTGCCCGGTCCGTCCGCCGCCCGGCCGCGACAGCGCCGCCGAGCCGGTGTGCGCGCGGCCGCGGTGGCCGGCCACCGCCGCCGGAGGAGCGACGCCCAGCTGCGCCGCGGCCGCGCGACGCGCCGCCGAATCGATGGCGGCGGCGACTGTTGGCCGGGCGGCAGCGGCGGCGGCCAGTCCGCCGGGACCTCCTCCGGCTCGGGCGCCGTGACTGCCGGCGAGTGGCGCGCCCTCTCCCCGCCGGAGATCGTTCCCCCCGGAGCGGCGCCGGCCAGCCGGCATCGATCGGCCGACTCGGAGGAGGCGTTTGACGCGCGCGCCGCCGCCATTCCGCCGGGCCGCGGCGACGGTAGCCGGTCGTGCTCGGCTCCAGTGGCGGGCGGGCGGCAACCGCGCGGGCAGCTGTTTGGGCGGGCCGTCGCCGCACCTTGCGCGGTAGTGTGCAGGGGTCTGTCGATTTCGATGCCGAGTGGGGCGACGAGGTCTCGGCAACAGCCGGTTGCGAGTGATCCGTACTTTGCGGAAGTGCTGTGAGGCCACGGGGCGGTGAGCCTCAGGCTGCCTGACAAGACCTGTTGGCCCGGTGTGCTGTGATATAGCGGCCGCGTCGCCGCGCCGCAGCGGCTGTGCGTGAGCCAGATTGTGTTCGACGGCGCGCGCGCGCGCGCGGGGACCATGCGACGGCTGTGGAAGCGCGTGCGGCGCAGCGGCGCCTTCTGCGACCACCCGGCTGACCCGGACCCGGACTCAGGTAACGGCCGGGGCGGGGGAGGGATGAGGGTCACGGTCGGGCGGCCATCGGCTGACCCCGCGGAGGAGGGCTGGGCCGCGCGAGCAGGCTCTCGGCGGACGGCGCTCGCCCGGCCGGGTAATCAAGACGGTGGGCGGGCGGCTCATCCAATGCAGGGCGTCGGCGGAGCCGGACGAGCTCCGGCCGCCGCCACGCCGGTATTGGACAAGGCTATTCCAGACGGGCGGGCAAATGTGGACAAATGAAGGCACGAGAGGTCACGGTGTTATGGAAGGTCACGAGGGTCACCGACCGGCCGCCGCGTGGGGTGTTGTGGCCCTGATTTGCACCGCAGCCGGCTGCTGCCGCTGTTGCTGCTGCTGCTGCTGCAGCGGCGGCGGCGGCGGCGGCGGCGGCGGCGGCGCGACGCGAGCGTCGGCTGCGTGCGGGGTCGCGGGACCTCCGCCGGCTCCGTCGGGCGCAGCCAGGGTCAGCCGGACGCCGGTGCCCGGTCCCAATGTAAACAGCCGGACGGCGGCCGGGGACGGCCAGTGTGCCGCCCCACGCCCGCACGTCCAGGCCGCGCCGTCCGCCCCGCCGCCGCCGCCGCCGGCCGCTTGACGCACCATCAGCAGCCTGTGATCCGTGATCTATTCGTGATCGATTCGTGAGCGGTTCGTGATCCGTGACGAGTGCACCGCGGTCCGCGATTCTCTGGGAGCTGCGATTTTCTGTGACGAGGCCTCCCAGCGCAACCCGAGACAGAATGGCAGCGGGTGGGTGACTCAGTGCCGGTGCCCGGTGCCCGGCGCCGGCGCCGGCCACCGGGCACAATACTAAGTGACGTGCTGCTCGATAATCACTTGGCCTCCCCTGGGTCGATCCGGTGGACACGATCGGACCGGCCACACCGCGTGGAACGCGTCACCGCTGTTTATTCGTCACGCAAACCTGGGGCGTCTCCCCCTTGAGGGTGTGGTGCTGGGCGAGTCATTGACCCAGGCGCGTGCGACACGCCGGGGGCCGCCCCTCCTGGCGGCGCGGTGGCCGGGCGCCGCCCCCTCCGTCCGCTCTCGCCGAGCGTGCGGCACGCGACCAGCTCGAATTGTCTGTAATTCGCGGGCGGCGGCTCTGACAGGTGCCTGCCGATGACGGCACGAACCGGCTGTGGGAGGAGGGCGGCCGGGTAATAAGGGGGAAGCGAGTCTCCGCACTGATGACCTCACCGGCGGCCGCCGCGCGGGCGAGGGAAGGGGAGGGGGAGGAGCGTGGCTGGCTTCCCATCACTCAGGCGCGGTATCGACTCTGTACAGTCTCCGGCACAGGTCCCCGAGACGCCGGGACGGCTGCTGGAGCACCGCAGTCACCGGTCCCCCGCCTCCTGCTCAGACGGCGCCAGGCGCCCAGACAGACGCCTTGACCTCTGTGCAGCGCACGTTGTAACCAGCGCTCAGCATGATACGTGCGCCGGGACGCGTCACAACATGCCTCCGATTCCTGTGTTATCCTGTCTCTTATCGCCGTTCGTCCTGATTGACGTGAAGCTGCGCCCTGTTGACCTTGACGCCTATCCTCAGACGTGACGATGCCGTCCTGGCCGCCCCGCCGGTCCGACCGTCCCTCCCCCGCCTCGGCCTGGTCTCGCCACCACGGCTGCTTGTGACCCTTCACCTCCACCCTCCCCCGCGCCGCCGGCGTCCGGCCGCCCACCGCCTGCGCCTCCTCCTCCCGCCGCTCCTCCTCCTGCTGCTGCGACCCTCCTGTACACCTGCCGTGGCTCACTCGAGGTGAGACCGCCCGACAGCCTCGTCCTGTCTCCTCCTGCATTCTCGCCGTGTCCTCCTGTCTCCTCACCTCCTTGGCCGAGACCTGCCCGGGCCGGCTCAGCCCGCACCAGAGCCGGGCGGGACGGGGGCCCGCGGCGTCAGCCGGCGTCGCGGCTGGCGGCTCTGGCTCGGCCAGCCGACGCAGGCCTGGCTAACGCCACCGCAGGCGACACAGCGCCTGACGAACCTGCAGCCGCCGGCGGAGCTCGGGCGCCGCGTCTGGCCTGGCTGTGGTGACCGCGATTAACCACTGGACGGGCTGCCTGCCGCTGTAGAGGCCTCAGCATCCCGGGCGGCTGCGGCCGGCGCATCCGTTTGCTTGCCGCCGCGCGGCTAGATCTTTGGGTGCCGAGAGCGGCTCGTGGCCGCGCGGAACTGTGTCTGGTGTCAGCTGGCAGAGCGGACGCTCGCCATCAAAGTGTTAGGGGCGGCTTGTGTCTGCCTTGGCCCCGGCTTGGTCAATGTGTCTCGCTGACGGGTCGTGCGGCGCCGGCAGCCGAGGACCAGCCGCTGGGCGACTCAACCTACAAGTACCTGACGGTGGACGAGATGAAGTCGCTCGGCGACGACTCCATGCCCATGGACACATCCCGCGACGAGACGTTCGACCGCTCGCACGACTTCAACACAGGTGAGGCAGATGTCCGGCCGGTCGCTCGACCTCAACACTGGTCAATGACTGACGGGCGTCACGTGACGTGACGTGACGGGCGTCACGTGAAGGCCCGGCAGCGAGCCCAGCCGACGCCGTCACCTCGCGCGGCTTGGTGCGATCAGTGCGCCTGGGTTTGCTTTGAATGTTGGCTCCTCAAAGCGCTCGTGGCGGTGGCCGCAGGCTTGTGGAGGTAGCGCTGTTGGTTGCGCGGTCGAGGATGTCCTCCGTCCCCATCCGTGCAGTTAGCTGGGTGACTGCACAGCCACATGGGAAGACCTGACGTCGCTTCCTAACTTTCTAAGTCCCGTGATCTCGCCTTTAATGTTCTGAACCTGTCCACAATAGCCAGCTCTGGCGTTCAGCGTCTTGACCTGGCTGTCAGTGACATGACCTCTGTTGACCTGACCTGACCTGAGTGCGCCGGCGCCGCAGACTGGATCAACAACGCCCCGGCGATCGAGGAGATGATTTCGCCGCAGAAGCTGAAGGAGTCATATGCCCAGTTCACGGGCAGCTTCGCGCCCGACAACGTCGACATCTCGCGCTCGCCCGTCACGGCCGGGTGAGTGGTGCCGCCGGTCGCCGACAGGTGGCGGGCCGGGCGCGGCGTCGACAGATGGCGGTGGGGCGACGGCCGGTGGAGGCGGGGCGCGGTCGGGTGGCGGTGGCAAGGGCGCCTCTGGCACCGGTGTCGGGCTCGGGGACCGGGACAGAGCGGCACACCGCGACCGTGCTAGACGACATGCACCTGTCCCGGGTAAACAGTGCGGCCCGCGAACCACGCACTGGGCGGAAGGCGGGGCTAGGTGGTGAGTGTTAGCTGGTGAGGTAGACTCCCCTTCCGGCGATGTTGGCGAGCAACAGGTCCAACCAAGGTATCTGCTATTCAGCTGTAAGATAGCCAGGCATTTGGACGGGCTGTAAATATGCAGCTTGTGCTTTTGTATAACAAATGCGTAGTATCAGCTGGCCTTGGATGCTACTCTTCACATGTTTCTTTCTTTTTGGACAGTTCCATATCGTTCGTCTTCTCTGTTTTGTTTTGTCTGTTTTTTTATTATGACAACTGTTCACATTGCTCGTTTATTTCCTAGATTTCGTTGATTGTTTTCTCTTTCGTGTTGCCCTGTTCTCCCCTGTTCTCTGCTTCTTGGGAGTCTGTCTGGTTGCGCTGCGTGCCATTTCCGTTGACACGCTTCCCAGTCCCCGCCCGTACTGGAGCGACGCTTACATTGCGTGTGGATAACCGTGTTAACAAGCGCTCTGTGGTCCAATCACACAGCTGCACGCTCTTGGCGGCTATTAACGAGGACACATTAATCCGTTGGCGGGTTTACGTGACTAGGGCTATACTGACGGCCTATGTGTGTACTCACGTTTGACAAAAGATTTAACTGAGCTACCCGAGTGTCTCGCCCCAGCTTTGCCGCTGTAACAACGGGTGCGCGCCTGTGTTGTGGAACCGGTTTGCCTTTGGCAGCGGGCCGTCATACCGTGGCACTCGGTGGCTCCTCGGCCGGCAGTCTAAAACGTTACGAATGACTCTTCCGTTTCATTTGCGGTAACGGTTCATTGTGCGGCTGTCACCCTGCACAGCCAAGCGCCTATGCCGGCCAGTGTTTGTGACGTGACACTCAAGTCGATCGGCATTTCGAACGATGACCGCATTTCAGTTCATTTTCTCAGCACACACGCACACACAAAACAGGCACCGTCGCTATCTATGGCTCCCATACTGTCACGTCTTCTTTTCCGCCTGTCCTTTCGTCGCGCTGCCCCTCCGGCACCAGTTTGGCATCAGCTGACTCCCAGAGCTGACAGTGGCCCCTACCGGGCGCCCTGGCCGATTTTGTTAACTCGTTTCGCCCACAGATGGCACTGCTCTGTTGACCGTTGTGTCTGTCCCACTCTCGGCAGCGTTTCCACGCACAGTCTGGACACCACGCTGTCTTGTTGCACCGCCACTAGCTTTGTCGGAATGTTCCGCAGCAGGTTACGTATTGTCGGGCGCGTCCCGAGGTGGCAGCACCGTAGCCAGACGGCCGCAGTGCCGGGGGTCCGAGCAAAGCGCGCTGTCCCCGGCTGGATCGGCCGACCGCGGCGGAGTTTGACGGCAGACCTCTGCTCTTTGAGACTTGCTCATATGCCAGCACAATGTTTGGGACCAACCGAACATATCTGGACCATTGTCCAGCATAACGTGCGTTGGGGTTGTGCAGCGGAATATTCGACAATGCTGGACTCTGCCGCTTCTCTGCCGATTCATGCGAGGGCCGCGTTTTGCCGAACCCTTGCGCTTGTAGTCCTTCGGGGATTGCTGTGAGCCTGGACACACCGCTAACGCTTCCCTCGCCTCTGCTGCTGGCGCCGCGCCGAACTCCTGCTCGGACCGACCGTCACAACTAGATACATATTCACCCGCACGACTACGTAGATAATGGAAAGCTAAAAATCTACTAATCTCGCGAATTTGTTGAAACTCTTATTATTTCTAATAGACTGCATCCCATGATGTGGCATTGAGGCACGTTTGGCTCTCAGTAATACCAAAACGGAGAAAGTATGCGGAAAGAAGGCATGATGGCTCCAAATTGCACTGGGATGCTGCACTCATGCTACCGCTTCCCCCATTCGGTTCAAGTGGCATTGGTCAAACCCAGCCGTGGGATCCAGCCCGCCCGGATCTGACCATGACGGCCGTGCTGTGTATGTTGCGAAGCTTCAGTCAGTCGGGGCTTCTTCATCTGGAGCCGGGCTCTACGGCCTGCATCGGGCCGGCGTGGGTATGCGGTAAGCGCCTGGGGGGCTTGCTCGCCCGCTCTCGGCCAGGGAGTGCCTCCAGCCCCCCGCCGGGGACTGCCTCCTGCTCCCTGCCGGAGAGTGCTGTCGCCCCGGCGAGCTCTGACCATCGCCGCCAGTCCCGGCCGACAGCAGTGGGGTGTGGTCGTGCGGTGTGGGCGGGGCGTCTGTGGTGATCCCGGACCGCGCCTCGTGACCGTCCGGACTCGGACCACGCCCTCCCCCGGTGACCTTTTGACTAACGGCCCCCCTCCTGCGCATGCCTCCCTGCAGACCCAAGCTCAAGTGGAAATCGTGAGTACATGGTACACGTATGGTCGCATGGGCGGCGGGCGCCGATTGGTGGGACGGTTGTGTGAGCGACCAGTGGGGCTTGCCGGGGATGCTGATTGGCGGGACGGCAGGTTGGCCGACCAGTGACGCTCGCAGACGCTTGAGATCGATGTTCCGATCGGTGGCGATCGGTGGTGTTAGGCGACTGAACGTCATCCATCACGGTTAGCTTGTCAGTGACCGAAGCTATTGGGCTCACCAGCCGCTAATGACGATGCAACGGATCTGACGGGTTTAGCGCTACCACATCACAGAAATCGAAGTCCATCGCCCTCGTAAGAGGGATTCAGCGGAAAGCGTGGACGGCAGAACTCGTGATGCTACTAGAAGCCGGGGCTTTACCGTAGTCTGCGAATGTGGGTGCGATTTGCATGCTCCGTTCCCCGGCGTAGCGTTGCAGAGCACACATGAGCCACGAGCCCTGACCGTGACTGTGACACCGGCTGCTGGCGGGCTGCCCGCTTGGTGCGGAGTCCCTCGCTCTCTTGACCGTAGATGTCAATCGTCAGTCACGATGTGCATAGTTTGCTACTCGCGTGAGCCATCGCGCCGCTAACAGCTTCACTCGTGGGCTATCGAGTAGGCAAGCTAACACAAGTAGACCTAATCGTGTACTGAACACTCTGGCCTAACGTCATGTGCCGCCTTTCACTCCTGTCACGCCTGCTGCTGTTTTTAAGCAGGCTCTCAGACTGCGGCCTTTGGGCGGTGTCGCTCATCTCCGGTGATGGACTATGCGAGCTCCGCCAAGCGGCACATGACGTGCCAGCATTGACGCGGCATACAGTGTTCTGATTGACGGAAGCTCTCACTGTTTTTGCCAGTAGATAGTGAACACTGCCCAGTGAGAAGTGCTTCCTCATTTTTTGGCCGTTGCCGCTTCTTTGATCCGCGCGCATTGAGGCCATCGTCATAGCAAGCATAGCAAACTCTCGGCTTTACGTACGCCGAGCCGGTCCCCGCTCATTTTCTGCTCGCGAGCAGCGGGTGGACAGCGAGGCGCGCCACTAGCGCCATCTCTGGGCGACCGTTACAGGTTCCTGGTGAGCTTCATGGTGGACGCCCGAGGCGGCGCCATGCGCGGCTGCCGGCACTCGGGCGTGCGCGTCATCGTGCCGCCCCGCAAGGCGGCCCAGCCCATGCGCATCACGTGCCGGTGAGGACTCCGTCGACCGCACGCCGCTGATGCGGGGCGAATCGTTCAAACGGAGCGGGGCTTCGTCACCACCTCGTCAGCTGGCCTGTCACACAGCCGTTAGTTACTGTTACGACAAACCACACGTGCGGTGTTTGTAAGAGTTCGGCTGTGTTCAAAGACAGTGATTTGATGTGGTTCTTTAGTTTGTTGAACCTTTCCTGGTGAGCGGCTCCATGTAGTCGGTACCCGAGGGAAGTGTGCAAGCTTTTTAGTCCTAACTGCATTCCCACCCTGTCATCTATCAGCTACCTGAAGAAAGACAAGTTGCTGCACCCGCCGCCTTTGATGGAGGGCGAGGCGATCGCCAGCCGCATTCTGGAGATGGGCCCGGCCCAGGCCAAATTCCTCGGGTGAGTGTCGAGCCAGACCGGTGGCTGGATCCGGTCTGTCGAGCCAGACCGGCGGTGGTGGATCCGGTGGCCCTCTCCTGAGGACGCCGGTGATGACGCCGGCAGCTCACGGGATCGTGAACGGTCTGTGCGCTTGGCAGCTTCCCTGGCTACGTAAGGCGCAGTTTATTAACATTTGCACATTTAAGGCAGCGTCTCCAGGTGTGCGGTATCCGCTGGCGATGACGTCACATTTGGCCCACTCTCATTCCGTACCGTGGCCACTGATGGTGATCTTCGTACCGCGGACACCGGCGGTGGTGTCCTTCCGCTGGAGACCGCATGGTTGGCGCCAGAGCTCAGCTCACGCCGCTGCCGGCCGTGTCTGCTGAGGCGAGCCGTGCCGGCCGCCCCGCTGACGGCCCGGCCGCCCCGCTGACGGCCGCCCCGCTGACGGCCGCCCCGCTGACGGCCGCCCCGCTGACGGCCGCCCCGCTGACGGCCGCCCCGCTGACGGCCGCCCCGCTGACGGCCGCCCCGCTGACCGCCGCCCCGCCGGCCCGCAGCCCGGTCATTATCGAGGTGCCGCACTTCGCGGCCCTCCGCGGCCGCGAGCGCGAGATCGTCATCCTGCGCTCCGACAACGGCGAGACCTGGAAGGAGCACACCCTGGAGGCGTCCGAGGAGGCCGTCCAGGAGGTGCTCAACGAGAGCTTCGACGGCGACGGTGGGTGGCCCGATGGCGCGAGGCGGTGAAGGGGGAGGGGGAGCAGCTATGGAACGCCGCTGATGAAAACTGGCTGTCAGTGTGCGCGTGTACGGGTCGGTACCGCAACGAATAGAAAAACAGCTCACGTATCCAATGACGAGGCATGCTGGGACCTTGGGGTTCAGCCGGGGAGGTTGTCTGTCTGCGGGAAGTGTGCGGACTGTGAGCGCCGCCTCGCCTGCCGTGCCGCAGAGCTGAAGCAGCTGGAGGACCTCAACACCAGCCGCATCACGCGCATCGTCACCACCGACTTCCCGCAGTACTTCGCCATCGTCAGCCGGCTTCGCCAGGAGGTGAGGCGCAGCGGCAGGGCCGGCCTCGGGGCGGCCGCCGGGCCGCGGTGGTGCGGCGCCGCCAGGTGCTGTGAGGTCTCTGACCTCTCTGAGAATGAGCAGACAGACCCGGCTCCGTACCCGTGAGAATGAGAAGGCAGACCCGATCACGCAGTGTTATCGGACAGAGTGAAGTCTAAGGACCCCCTTGAAATATGGTATTGCCAAACACGTTTTCAAGTAGGCTCAGGGAAAGAGTTCGTGTCTATGCCTATGCCATTTAAGTCTAATGAAAATACTGAGAACTCATTGGAGCATTATTTATACTGACGTTATACCAAAGTGTCCTGCCCAGGCTGCCATGGACCGGTGCAGGAGTCGGTGCTGAGCTGAGCAGGGTCACCACTGCCCCGCCCGCCCCCACCCCTGCTGGCGGCGGCCGCCTGCGCGCTGACCTCCACGCCGTCTGCTCGCTGACCTCCGCGCCGTCTGCGCGCTGACCTCCGCGCCGCCTGCGCGCTGACCTCCGCGCCGTCCGCCGCCAGGTGCACGCCATCGGCACGGAGGGCGGCATGGTGTCCAGCACGGTGGTGCCCCAGGTGCAGGCCGTCTTCCAGCCGGGCGCGCTCACCAAGAAGATCAAGGTCGGCCTGCAGGTAACCAACCCGTTCCGGCGGCGCAAGGAGCGGGCCGCGCTCAAGCAGCAGGCGCCGCCGCTGGTGCCCAAGAAGCGGCGCCTCTGCCGGCTCTGGTGAGCCTGTCTGGGCAGACTGGGCCGCCGCTCCGAGCACCAGCTGCAGGTGGTCGACGTCGACCGCCTGCTGCTGCACACCAACAGCTGCTGAGGCCGCAGCAGCGCGCGCCACGCCTCCGCCCCTCTGCCGGCCGCCGGCGGGGGCGGTCTGTCCGCCTCGGCCGCCGTCGGCCGCGCTCGCGCGAGGGAGGCCGTTCGGCCGCCGACGGTCACATTCCGGCGCTGATAAGCCCGGCGCTGATCCTTGGTTGACGTATCGGTTCTAGTCATATCAGTCAGCGGAACAGTATTTATTGGTGGGGCGTGCGTTCCCACGAACGCGTTTTATTTTATTTTCGGGGTGGCGGCTCGCACGCTTTACATTGCTCAGGGCTTTGGTTGAGAGGTTTGCTGGGTTAGGGTTTGTAGCTGAGTTCGTGTCAAAGAAACGGCCGAAATTGGGCGGAAACGTGGCGCAAATGAAGGTTGTGACCGCCGGCACAGTCTGCCCGGAGACGCGGAGTCTCTCGGCGGTGCGAAGTCGCTTTCGGCGCGTCAGGCGTTCGGTCGCCGAGCGAGAAGACTGTGACGAGGCTCGACGGCTGGGAGTTTTTTCCTCCCGCGCCTAGTATTATCCTCGCGAGGAACGTGAATCTCGCTGTACTCAAAACAAATCTGCTCGGTCTGATAACGCGAATCTCACGTGCATTGTCGTGTCGCTTTGTTGTCCTCAAGAGGTCATTTTTGTTTTCCACTGTGCTCAGCTGTGTCCCCTGTCGGGACGGTCTCGCTCCGTGCGTGTCTCTGTCCCTCCACCCCCGGGCGCGCTCTCTCCTGCCGGCGCCCTCCGCCCGTGGCGCCGTTCAGTGTCGCGCGCCCCTGGGCGGGTCTGTGGCCGCGGCGCCGCCCGTCTGCATGCTGCATGCCGCGCCCGCCGCATGCTGTCCGCCCTGCCCGGCCCCGCAGCGCCGTCCTTCGGCGTGCCCGCTCGCTGTTTGCTGTGCCTTTCCGGTCAAGTACAAGCGGCGCTGTCTCTGTCTCGGCCGCCGGGCGTGGTGGCCTCGCCGGGCAGATCTCTCACTGCGCCGCGCCGATCCCGAGACGCCGCTGTCGGTCCGCTCTCGGGCCCGGGCCGTCGGTGGTCGTCCGCAGCGGCGCCGGAGCCGGAGCCGCCGGCGCGCGCCGTGTCGCTGCACTAGCTGTAAGCGCGGGCGCGTCGGGAGGCGCGTCCGCTGGTGCCGCCGCGTCCCGGCCCGCCCGCCCCCGCGGGTGTCTCGTGTCGAGGCGGCGTCCGCTCGCGGGCGGACCCCACGCCATCTGAGTGTGCTCTGTGTAATGGCGCAGCTCTAGAGGCGGCATCTCGTGGCGGCCTGGCCAACCGTAGCTTCGACGCCGGGCGTTGCGACCGGGAGGCTCAGCTGGTGCGAGCAGCCGGTCTGAAAGCCGGAGGGTGTGGGTTCGATTCCCACCCCGGTCCAACGCTTGGCGTTTCGGCGCGTTTGCGCACCGTGCGCGAGGTCAGGTAAGCCTCGCCGGTCTTATGCCTTCGATGCCGTCTCTTGGGCGACGCTTGCGCCCTCTCCTCCGCTTTGCTGTCTGACCTTTACCACTTACTAACAGTAGCCTGGCATGTGCGGTACGGGTGCAGACTAAAGAAGCCCAATAAAATTAGTGACGGTCTACTAGCATTTCCGACTCTGGCGCTCCGGCCTCGTGCATGGCTCGAACTGGTTTAGGCAAATGTCACGTGCTGCATACTGACCTACTAACCTGTAACACATAACAAAATTTGCTAAGCCAGCGCTGTCGGCCGCCACTGCACTGAGTGGGCCGCCAAGCCGCGTCCCTCTAACTTTATTGGGCTGTCTATAGTTGGCTTACGCGTGTGCATTTGCCCGCGAACTACTTCGAGCCCTGCATGCGCCCGGCTGCTGATGGTGGATGGATGGAGGGAGGCTGGTGAAGGACACTGGCTCGGCAGCGACTGGGTACGGTGGCGGACAGCGCGCGCGCGCAGAGGGGACGAAGGGCACGACACGCACAGTCGGTACACCGCAGATGGAGTCAGCATGGCGTCGACGGACACGCAGCAGGCTGCTGGGCCGAGCCCGCACTCAGTGAACACAGCGGGGCACATGCTAACCACGGCTGCCATGTTCTTTCAATGGACGCAGCTGGGTACGCACTAGCTACCGGTCCACTGCTGGTTCAGTTCAGTGAGCACAGCGGGGTACACGCTAACCACGGCTGCCATGTTCTTTCAGTGGACGCAGCTGGGTACACACTAGCCACCGGTCCACTGCTGGTGTAGTGGACACAGCGGGGTGCACACTAGCCAACGGTGCACTGCTGGTTCAGTGGACACAGCGGGGTGCACACTAGCCACCGGCGCACTGCTGGTTCAGTGGACACAGCCGGCTCACACTGTCGTTATTAGCCATCAGTTCAGTCCGAAACACGGCAGTTCAGTTCGGTTCAGTTCAGCCGGTGGTTCAGAGTGCTGCTCTCGGTCGTCACTGAGGCGGACTTTAAACACAAGATGGTGCCGTTCATGCTCGGTCAAATAACATAATGTAATTGATTTTGGATATCCTTGAGTTTTGAACATCATTGAGTATCATTAAGCGGACTGAACCGCCGTCGCGAAGACTGACTTACAAAGAACTGCACAGAGCAGCTTCCCCCTCCATCGACCACACACGATATTTCAAGCACGCTCGGCCCCCGTTGCCATGGAGACGTACTGAGACTGACGCCTGGACGGTGACGTCATATACCGCAGCGGCTCCACCTCAGGACAGACCGAACGGAAGACTGCGTGGGCCGGTCTGCAGAGCGGGATAACGGAGCCGATGGTCGGCGAGGGAGCCGAGCGCGCGTGCCCGTGCTGCACGCCGCCACACCTGACTGCTGGGCGGGTCATGCACTGGGGGTCGGATGCTACAGCGCGGTGGGTTGTAACGGTGGGGGCTAGTGATCACAGTCGTGGGCGGATGTGGAGTGGGGATGGGAGTCTTATTCGAGGTCGGGCGGCACACTCGGGATCAGGTGTTGTCTTCGACATGTGAAGCCACTGCCCTCTGCTGATAACGACAGAGCACACCTCGCCCGTGTGTTGCCGGAAGGAATGAAAACGAAACGCGCGTCAGGAACGAGACGTATCATGTGCAGGCTCTAGGGATCGGGAACATCGTAGGGCGGCTCTGAAGACGCTGCAGAAGATATCAACGATTGTCGCATTGCAAGACTGCACGCTACCCTGCGACGCTTCTCTTCGTAGGAGTATTAGGTCAAAGGCCCGCAACGGGCCCTGTATGGCTTCACAAACAGTTCATGCTCCAACACAAAAATGAACCAGACAGTCTGCCACGGAAACATCGAAGCACGTCACTGGACACGGGGACCCAGACGCTGAAGCGCACTCCATCTGGGGCACAGTCCAGCTGTGACGTCACGGACGTGACGCCTCATGCCGCGGGGATGCCACCCCAGAGCGGCGGCCGCAGCGCACTCGACTAACGCTCACAGCTGGGAGCATGCGCACCGCTAACAGCATGCGCAGCGCACAGGCTTAACACGGGCGTTGGCTTGCCGCGGCTGCAGACCGTCCCCGCCCCCGCTGCCTCCGACGTACCGGCCCGGGGAGCCGGCCGCTGACGGCCTCCGACCGGCGGCGCAGCGCTGGCTGGACCGCGGAGAGACGGCGCGACACCGCGCCGGGCCGAACGGTGTGCCCTGGAACCCGTGAGGTCCGGGCGGCGCCGCGCGGTCTTCGGCCCGGGGCGCGCACGGCACCGTCTCGAGCTCAGAGGGAGCAGCCAGCGCTGTCGTTGCCTCGGAGGTCGCTGACTCGTGCCGGCGCCGGAGCGGAGCCGTTCCACTCTCTCTCCTGGTGTGTCGGTCACACGACCCGCCCTGTCCCGCCTCCGGCCCTCCGTCCTCACAGCGCCGGCCAGCGGGCGGGCCTGTCCCACGCCCCGCCCCCGCCTGACGCCGGGGCGCGCGGCTGACCGCCCGCCCTGACCCCAGGCTCAGCCGATCCCGCCCGAACTGGTGGCTAAGCTGCTCGGCAACCGAGTGGCCGTGTCCCCGATCGTCACCATCGAACCGCGCCGACGCAAGTTCCACAAGGTAGGCGAGCTGGGCCGAGCCGTGGCTGGCGCTGGCGACCGCCGCTCTCCCGCAGGTCCCGAGCAAGGTCCGGCACTGGCGGCTGTCGCTCTCCCGCAGGTCCCGTTGGTGCGCCGCCGCCCGCTCACCGGTGCCTGTCGTGTAGGGGTGGCGTTGACTTCGTGTGCGCCAGTCAGGGTTTCAACGCCTGCAAGAAGTTTGGTTTTCGTGGTTGTCAAATCGGATTGGCGTATTCGGTTTTTGGATAGTTGCTGTGTGTTTCGCTAGATATCAGTGTTTCTGTGGAAGTTGCTCCGCGTTGCGTACACTCAGGCTTGGAGACGGGAGCTCGAGTCAGACATATGTGTGATGTCCTAGCTGTGTCGCCGGCTGGGGCGTGCCGCCCGAGTCTGTGTGAGCAGGGAATGGAAGGGGAGGGGGTCACAGTGACGCTGGTCCCTGTCGTGCTGACGCCCGCCTCTGCCGCCTCTGCAGCCCATCACGCTGACCATCCCCGTGCCCCAAGCGGCCGCCAAGGGCATGATCAATCAGTACAGCGGCGACGCGCCCACCTTGAGACTGTTGTGCTCGATAACAGGTGAGTGGAGTGGGGGCGACGGTGGCGCCGCGCCGCGGACGTTGGCCGAGGATGCCGCCGTGTTGTGACGGGACGCGCGCTGCGGGCCCCGGCTGCTTTCAGTGTTCTCATGCTCTGCTTTGCTTTTGCATTCTTTGAATTTGCTGACCGCGGCTTCTTTTTATTCCATTCGGTGCTTTTCTGTGAAATTCGTTTTCCGCGGCGGTGGCGCGCGGTCTCCTCCACTGTGCACCTCCGCTGCGACTGTCTCCGGTTCGCCCGCGAAACGGAGGCCGGGACGTGCGGCCTGCCGTCTCAGAGCCGACACCAGGCGAAATCTCTGGGACGGTTCGCCGCTCCGACATCTCTGACTACTGGGAGATGCCCCGGCCGGCGGGGCCGCAGGCGGTTAGCGCGGGCGGGCGGCGCGCTCTCGGCGGGGCCGCCGCCGCGCCGGCCGGCCCTGGCGGCCAGTTAGAACTGTCGTGCCCCTAGGCCCGCCCCGGGACCGTATGCGTCCAGTAGCGTACTAATACCATAGTCAGGTGTTAACTCGGCCCTCTCTCTATCACTCGTGTGGTCATTACCTAGTGCCTGAGACCTAGCTAGCCCGATAGAAGGTCGGCGTCGCTCAGTCGGGGGCCGCTGTTCGGAGCTCGTTCCTCGAGTAGTAGACCACCCTCCGAGTTCCTGCAGAGGTCTGCATAGAGGTGGGACAAGAATCCTGGCTGTACTTTGACTGGGCGGTACTCTGCCTCCCGCAGCAGCGCATTCTCGGCCTAACGCTCTCATACTAACAAGACTCTTTGTGTTTTCCTGCTAAGGAATCTTTCGGAAAAGATCTCTCAAAGGTGGGCAACGGATATTTGTACTCTTGCGCTGTTTTAATCTCCACATTTCTCTGTACTCTCTGCCTCACTTGTTTGTTTTCTCGTTATGCTTGTTTTCTGCCGCGCATGCTCCTCCCACCCCGGGGACCGCCGCCTGCCATTGGCCGGAACTCGGCGCCAGCCGCCAATCACGACGCTCGCTCCGAAACGGAACTCGTCTCTCGGCCTGCGCCTCAGTTCGGTTTTGTTCGGTTGGTTGAGAGCTGGCAGCTCGGCGCCGGCCGATTCTTGCGCGAGCGCTGCTTGGGCTGAGCGCCGGCCACAGCCACGTTTCTTGGCCGCCGCCTCGGTCCCCCCCCCCCTCCCCCCGGGAATGTGCGACATGGCACGAAAACTCGTAGCACGGTACTGCGCAGACATCAGTAGTGCAGTGTCGCAGTCCTTGCCCTCCGTATGGCCCACGCAGGGCTCTCTGCCAGCGTGGTGGGGTGCCGCGCCTCGCGCCGCGCCACCACCGCCCGGTCCGCTGACGCGACCAAATTCAGCGCCGTTTGAGAAGTTCAATGGTGGCCCCACCCCGTCCCGGAGATAGCCGTCACTGTTTCCGTGTAGCTGCAGCCAGCATGTCGCATCAGTGGTGATGTCGCCGTCCGGAGGTCGAGCGCCGGCCGCCGGCTCGCCGCCCAGGAAGGGCAGGGGGCGTGTAGGGGGGGGGGGGGGGCGTCAGTGTTCCGTTCGCTGTGGCCTTGGTTCGCTGGTTGTGCTGCACGGGCATGCTAGCCTGCGTGGTGTGACCGAGAGGTGTCGGCGTGACGCGCGCGGCCGGCCGCCCGTCACGGGCCTGCAGCCGCCACAGGAGCGTCACAGCCGGCCCGACCGCTGCCAACAGCGGCCCATGGTCAGGGCAGGTCAGGTTATGGTCAGATCAGGGCCGGGTCGGGAGAGGTCTGGTTAGGTCATGATCATGGCCAGGTCAGGTCATAATAAGGTCAGGCCATGGTCAGACCACGACTAGGTCATGACCAGGTCAGATCAGATCATGACCGTGGTCAGGTCAAGTCATGATAAGGTCAGGTCACGGTCAGATCATGACCAGGTCAGGTCAGATCATGGTCAGGCCAGCGTCGGGCCAGGGAGGGTGCCAGAGCAGGTCAGGGAGTCGGACGGGAGCTGAACAGTGCGTTGGGTGGCCATACCAGGTCCGGGGCTCCCGCAGAGCAGCGCTGTCTGTCGGACGGCGCAGGCAGCGTAAGTGAGACCTGGGACCTGTCCAGTCACTGGGTCGCCAGACGCCCGTGGGTCGCCAGTACGGCAGAGTGCGACAGCATGTGCCCAGGACTCGGTAGGTCAGCCGTCGCTGGGTGGTCAGACGCCCGCGGGTCGCCAGTACGGCAGAGTTTGGCAACATGTGCTTTGGCAACATGACTGGGTAGGTCAGCCGTCGCTGTGTTGGTGCGCGGTACATGGCTGACATGGGGTGAGTATTCAGTGGTTGGTGTATGAGTGGCGCGTGGCACGAGTGTCAGTGTCCGGCACTCATCTGGCCACTCCGTTACCTCCCACTGACCGTGCTGAGCCGGAGTGTCTGCCGCTCGGCTGGCGCGGCCGCCAGTCATCACCTCTGCGCTGGTGTCGGGCGCGCTGCCGGCAGTGTTGGGCTGTCACGCCGTGGTGAAAGCCAAATGTCTGGTTAACCCAGGAGTGGCGTTTTCTGTGTATGGAACTCTTGACCTTCAGCCTGTTGAGGCGAGGCCCGGCGATGTTGCGCAGCTTCCCGTGATACGCAGCCACGGTCTGCGTGATCCACAGATACACAAGGTCCTGACCTTCACGTGATACACAGATACACAGCCACAGTCTGCCTGTGCGGCCGCCGTGGCATGTTGCGTTCAGCGCAGGGGCGCCTTGCTGTCGCGCCAGCAGTCTCCCACAGCCCGCTCTGCCCCGCCCGCCAGTCTGCGCGCTCTCCCCCGTGTTGAGTCGGTGTGGGCGGCGGCGCTCGGCCCGACTGAGCCGCCCGCTCCCGCCGCCAGGTGGCACCACGCGCGCCCAGTGGGAGGACGTCACGGGCTCGACGCCGCTGACGTTCGTGAACGACTGCGTCTCCTTCACCACCACCGTGTCGGCCCGCTTCTGGCTGATGGACTGCCGCAACGTGACCGAGGCCACGGCCATGGCCACCGAGCTCTACAAGGAGGCCATCCACGTGCCGTTCATGGCCAAGTGAGTGGGCGCGGACTCCGGGACGGCCCGCGCCCGCGGACGGTGCCGTGCCGTGGCGTGGCGCCGACCGACACGGGCAGCGATGCGAGCCGCTGGCCACCCATCCCCCGGCCTTAGTTGGCGTCTGCTGTAATGATACACGGACGATCACGCAGTGCATGTACCGACAGCCGTTCTCGATAGGTGCCACCCGTGATAGCCGTAGATGGCGTTTTAGACGTGTAAGAAAGTTGGTGTCAAATGCAATTCAAGCAAAGTTTGTGTGGCGCGAGCCACCGAAAACATCGACATGTTTTCTATGGAAGCTTTCTTCTCTGAAGTTGGTGATTGGAGGAGAGAGCTGTCGTACTCCTATCCCGACGCGCGATCTCAGGGTCTGGAAACCAAGCTGGTCCGAATGCCGGGTTGTGTGTGTAAGAGCTAAGGTTGATAGTTTTAAGTCTGCCTGCCGTTTAAGCTCTGTACATCGCTCACTAGATGTCTCCAGCAAATCATCAGACGGCATTGGTCTCGCCGTTCGGCTCCGGTCTGTCAGAGCCTGCGGCCGTTACGACGCGCCCCGACCGGTAGTTGTGACCTCTGTGACCTCTGGCTGCGGCCGGTAGCCGTCACCGCCGCCCCCTTCGCAGGTTTGTGGTGTTCGCGAAGCGGCACGACCCGCTGGAGGGACGCGTCCGCGTCTTCTGCATGACGGACGACAAGGAGGAGAAGACGCTGGAGCAGCAGGAGCACTTCCTGGAGGTGGCCAAGAGCCGTGATGTGGAGGTGCGTGTGCCGGGAGACGCGGGCTGACGGGGCCGGTGTGGGGCCGGAGCCGGCCGGCTCCGCCCGGCTCTGCCCGGCGCCGCGTGTCAGCCTCGGCCGGCCGGCTGGCGGCTCGACAGCTCTAGACTGTGACTGATCCGTGCCCCGTCGGCTCCAGCAGGAGAGACTCCGCTGGGTGGTCTATCGTCAGCCTGCGGGCAATCCGCCTGTCGGCTCTCTTTCGCTTCAGGCTGCCGTGTCTGGTGGCGGTTGAACTTAAATATGTGTGTTCCGGCACTGTTGTTGCCTCTATTTAGTGACCGCCTGCTTGAGGCGGAGGCGTGCGGCGCTCGTCAGACCTGCTTTCTCCAGCCGGAGGTCGACCTGAGCGGACCTGACCTGACCTGACCCACGGGTCTGTGACACACGGCACCCCTGACCCGTCCAGGTGCTGGAGGGCAAGCCGCTGTACCTCGAGTTCGCCGGCAACCTGCTGCCGGTCACCAAGTCGGGCGACCAGCTCAACTTCCAGTTCTACTCGTTCCGCGAGAACCGGATGCCGTTCAACATGCGTGTCAAGGACCACACGCAGGACCCGATGGGCCGCGTCGCCTTCATGCGCGAGAAGAAGGTAGGCGCGCCACCGGCGGGGCTCCGCCTGGGCTGTCTCGTCAGCTGACCGACCTACCGTCGTGCCTGGACAGCCCCGCTGTGTTGTGTTGTCACGCCGTCACGCGTCACGGGTCACGCCGTCACGCCGTGTCATAATTGAGCCCGATTCACGATGCGCCGCCAGGAGCCGGCCCCGGCTCCTGGCGGCAAAAGAGTAGATGGTGACAAAAGAGTAGATGATGACGGATCGCCGTTGGTTTTTGTTGCACTGACTGGCGACTTCTGTCTGGCGGCCATGACCCGATGTGACCCAGTGTGACCCGACGTGACGCGATATGACCCGCTGTGGGCCGGCGGCGGCGCTGACTGGCCTGAGCGCGGCTCCGCCCGTGCGTGCGCCACTGAGCGTTACTGACGCCGCGCGCGCGCGCTCGCCTCCAGCTGAGCCGCCAGGATGCGCCCCAGGCGCCCATCTGTAACCTGAACATCCAGCTGCCGACGGACGTGTGCCCCGACCTGGACGTGTCGGCCGACAGCGAGCTGCTGCGGCAGCGGCTGACGCCGCACGCGGTGCGCCGCATCGGCCGGCTCGGTGAGCGGACGGCGCGAGCACGCCCGCCGGGCTGGGGGTCGGCACCTGCGGACCGTTCCCAGCGCTGCGTCCGCGGGGGTCCCGGAGGGGATGTCATGCGAGGGACGCAGACGCGGACAAGGAGGTGTCAGTAGGAGGAAGGTCGGTGGGCGCTGCCGGTGACAGCCAATGGCAGGTGTCGTCGAGAGGAGGAGGAGTGATTGCTGCCAACCGATGCCTTAGTCTTGGTGATCTCAGATACCGCCGACTCGTGTCTGCCGTGTGTGGGGCTGCGAGTGAGTGCCCTGTGTGCACTCGTGAGCGCGAGCGAGCGCGCTGCCGGTGGCGCGCTGCCACTGGCAGACCACCTGCAGTTGACCTAATGTCCAATCTTGTGTGGCGGCAGTGACGCCGGAGATCCACAGGGCTGACATCCGCATCACCGACATCGCTCACAAGCTGGGCAAGGACTGGGTAGCGCTGGCGCCACACCTCGGTGAGTGTCATTGATCGGCCGCCAACCGGCCCACCAATCAGCGCCGCCGGAGCCGTCCTGCCCTGGTACCAATTGGTGGACTGGTCGTCATAGGTTTCGAGTCGGTGGCAGCTGTGTAGGTTTCTTCGTTTCTGCGGAAACTTTGACACGCTTTCTTGTGGAATATCAGTACACTGCTGATTTAGCTTTGGAGAGGATCATTCAGTCTGCACTGCCTGTGACGTGGCTCCAAATCAAAGTGCAACTAGCCTCCGATATGTACCAAGGACATGGCTGCTGATGCATGGCCCGTCTCATCTGTGACGAGAACTCGCCAAAAGCTCTGCCGCGCCGTGGCGTCTGACACACGTGGCGGCTTCGGACCTCCGCGGTATAGCCGAAGCGCTGAGTTAGGGCTGGGGAGCGGGCGCTTCCCGGCCACGTGATGACGTCATTGGCACTGAGCTGCCGCGTGTTGCAGAGGTGCCCCAGTCGGACATTGAGCTGATTCAGACCGAGTACCCGGACGACTCGGCCCAGCAGGCCACTGTCATGCTGCGGCTGTGGATGAACAGCGCCGGCAACCAGGCCACCGGTGAGTACCGAAAACTCTGGTACCCGCCACCGGCACGAGACGGCGCTAGTGATGGCGCCGCCTGCAGCTGTGCCGTGCCGTCCCGGTGCGCTTACCTGGCTTAAAGAAGCCGCGGATGAACCCTCCGTCGGTCTGTCCAACGCAGCTGCGCCAGGGGTGGGGAGGAGGTGATGTCACATGGTGGAGTGAGGAGGTGATGAGGCAGGGGTGAGTGGGCGTGCGGTCTGTCGCCGTCGGTTGCTCCACCTGTGCCGGCTCCGGTACTGCGGTGACTCCGGCTCTGGCTGCTCCGGCTGCTCCGGTGGCTCCGGCTCCCGTTGCTCCGGTACGCTTGGCAGTCGGTCGGGCGCCTCTCCCTGCGGTCGTACCGCCGGCTGGACTCGCTCCGCTGACCTTGGCCGCCGCCGGGTGGGCCGCGCCGCGCCACGAGCGCCGCGCGGCGGCGGCGGCGGCGGCGCATCGCCGCAGGACGGGGGTGCGCCGCCCGTTACAACAACCGACAACAACTTGTGAGCGCGAGAATTACGCCCCATTGCCGGATGCTGTGCCGTTGAAGCGGCCGTTCGTGTGCTGCGCGCGCCGCCCGCTCCCGATGGAGATGAGCCTGCGTGACGAAAACAGACGGACGGCGGCGGAGCATTGGATGCCACGGCTGGGACCCGTTGCATATTCTGTTCACGGCTGCGGCCCGCTGACGGGGAGTGCCGCCTGTGAATGACGTCTGGGGGTGCTGATGGAGAGTGCCATCCCTGAGTGCTGCTGGGTTTGTGGGTATTAGCCAGAGGTGCTGTCCGAGAATGCCATCCAAAGGTGCTGTTTGAGATTACACTCCGGGAGTGCCCCCCACGGTTGTTGTCTGAGAGTGCCGTCTGGGAGTGTCCTCCACGGGTGTTGCCTGAGAACGCCGTCTGGGAGTGCCGTGTGCGGATGTTGTCCGAGCGTGCCGTCTGGGAGTGCCGTGTGCGGGTGTTGTCCCAGCGTGCCGTCTGGGAGTGCCCTGTGCAGATGTTGTCGGAGAGTGCCGTTTGGGAGTGCCCTGTGCAGATGTTGTCGGAGAGTGCCGTTTGGGAGTGCAGTGTGCGGGTGACGTGTGCCCGGCTGTGCCTCGTAACAAACGACGCTGCTGCTGGCTGACCAGGACAGACAGCGATAATGCAGATCCAAGCTCTGCTGCTTGTCCTGTTCGGAGACGGCGCGATCTGGGTAACAAGATTCGGCGGGGGCGTGTGTGGCTTCTTGTACGCAGATGCTCACTCTCGGATTTAGTCCTGAAGCCAGACTGAGCCTGGCTGGAAATCTGAGAATGGTTCCAGCGCTGATACACTGTTATCCGTCGAGTGCTCGCTTATCCAGTGGAACATATGCTGGGTGGTTTAGAATCGACAAGTTCAGTCGGTATGACCCGCTGAATGTTGTCGAAAGGGGCGCGGCCTCCCATTTGCGGAGTATACGCCCGCCGGCTGGTGTTATTTTGGCTCGGATTACATCGCGGCTGCTGCTGCCAGTCGGACATCTCCAGCGGCGATAAGCTTGTGGATGTTGACGCTGTCGGGCCTGACGCAAGGAGCGTTGCATACAGCGGCGGCGGTCGGGGCGGCAGCCGCCCGACCCTGACCCGAGCACTCCCGTCCGCCGGCTGGCCACGCTCCGGGTGACATCAGGGGGCGCGCGGGCGGCGGCTCGCCCCCTCCCCTCCCCTCCCGCGGCGACCGGCCGGCTGGCCTTGGCGAGCCGCCGCCGCCGCCGCCGCCACCACTTTGTGAATGAAGTGGAACTGACGCCGCCCTCGCTCGCGTGCTCCGCTAACGGGGTGTGGGTGGCGGTCGGCGCCCCTTCCCCCTCGGCCCACACGCCCGTCCGGCCCGGCGGTGTCGGCCGGTCCGGCACGTCTCGCCGAGACAGGGCTGGGGATCGGCCGACGCTGCGCCGACAGCGCCCCCCGGCCGCGACGTCGGGCTGCCCCTCCCCCGGCCCCCCATATCTGGACAGGCTTGCTGCCAGCACCCAGGCCGACACGACCGATAACATCGGCGATCGAGTGGGATGGGAGATGCCCCTGGCTAGTGGGATGCTATTTATGGAGACTCACGTGATGGACTGGGCGAGGCGTTGGCGTGCACGTGGGGGAAACGTGTTGATGTGAATTCAGGTAATGTAGCGAGAAAGTATCTACCGGCTTCACCCTTCTAGCAGGCCGACAGTCATTCACTTCTCTCGGCTTACACCGAAGTGGGTGGTTGACCCCAGCGACTTCCGCGGTTTAATAAATGTGCCAATTAATCCCCGGGAGTTGTTTCCTCCCCCGTTTTTAAACTGAACACGGATATTTGGATGGGGCTCTATTCATCTGTGACGAAACCACGTTGTTTTCCGGTATGCGTGGCAGCGTGTTTGAGCACACTCGCGGCTGTCCGTGGGATGTCTCCCGTCGCTCGCCTCTCGCCCTCCGCAGCGGCGCGTCGCGCCCCCTTTTTCCGCCGGCTGCGTGGCGGCCGTGCGTGCGCCCCGGCGCGTCGCGGCTGACGCGGCGTGACATTTCAAAGATCGCCGCTGTCACGCGGCGTGCGTGACCGGCGGTGCCGTGAGGCTGTCAGGGGGGGGGGGGGGAGGGAAGCGGCCCGCAACCGTCCCCGGCGCCGCCCGGCCCGACCCGACCGCTGTGTGACGGGCAATCCGGCGGAGAAACGGGTGACGGGCCGCGAGGGGAGGCGAAAGCGTGCGGTGGGCCCGTGCGGTGGCGCGTTCGTGCACGAGGCTCCAGAGCGACATTCGCGCGGCTGAAGCGGATTGCGCCAGGCCGCCCCACCGCATGACGGCGACAGTTGCAGGTGTCGCTTGCCGGCGGCTGTCGCTTTGTCGCTTTGTCGCATTGCGACATGGCGTCCGGCACGACATTTGCATGGACGGACGCATGCCCCCGTCAGAGGCGTCGTCTGTATGGCCGTCTGTCGCGTGGTCCCGCCGGGTCAGCTGGGCCGGAGTTCACTGTTGGCGCCGTCGGCTGGCGCGCCCGCTCCGCCGGCTCCGTCGGTCGGCCGGAGGGCTTGCCGGTCTGGCACCCCTGGTGTAACGTCTGTATGTGTGGCTGTCGGTCTGCGGTCAGCCGGCGGTGTGCCTGCTCCCCGGCGCCGGGTCACTGGCCGGCCGGCACGGTTTCACTTTCTCCGGCCGCCGGTCAGGGCGCCGCCTTTGTAGTTGGCGGCCGCCGTCGGACCGCGCGGCGCCGCCCCCTCGCGCGCCGGCCGGCCGACACTCGGTAGGGTCTGGCACCCCCTCCCGCACGTGACGTGACCCGACCCGACCCGACCCGACCACATGGAAGAGGCCGGGAGATAATGGGTCGGGATGGAGTTCTCGATGCCGGGCCGGTGGGCAGCTGAGTCAAGAGAGCTGACCGACGGTCTCGTAACTCGTTGGCTCCATGTTCGGGTGTTAGCTTCAGCAGGTCATGATAAGGTATTTGCCATAAAGTCCACATGGTGACGTTCTGTTTCGGCGCGTCGTAATAAATAAAACACGTAGAGAACAAAATAAACTAACAACCCTGTAACTGGCGCGGAAACACACACACATGAACAGCACATAGTCACACATTGCAAGTCACAAATCCCAGTTGGCAGCAGCTTGCGTTGCTGGAGTTGGCAGCTTGCGTCGGGCGATCGCCTGCGGCCAAAACAGACCACGTGACCCACGAGCCGCTCTGTCGCTCCCGCGTCGGTGTCGCGGCTCGTGCGTACGCCGCGGCTGTGCGGGCCTGGCGTGTTCGTCGGGGTCGGCCGTGCTGGGCACGTTCGTCGGCGCCGGCCGTGCTGGGCACGTTCGTCGGCGTCGGCCGTGCTGGGCACGTTCGTCGCCGCCGGCCGTGCTGAGCACGCTCGTCGGCGCCGGCCTTGTCGCTGTCTTTTGCAGCTCGGGCCGCGGCCCGTGACGGCCTGTTGTGAACTGTCGGCCGATCGGGCCGAGCGAGCGCGGCAGCAGAGGCGGGCAGAGCGCCGGAGGAGGGCCGGAAGAGGAGCGGAGAATGGAAAGCGAAGACGATTGGCGACGCCGCCATCATCGAAAAACTGAGAGCCGCTACGAGATGTGGAGGGGAGGGGGAGGGAGAGAGCGGGTGATCGGTCGCGGGTCGGCGAGCGGGCATACAGATCTGATCGGTCGGTCTCTGCCGTGGCGCGAGGTACCCGCCGCCTGCCGTGTTTTGCCACCTCGCTGCAGAGCTGGGGTGACACGGACGCGGCCGCGGGGCGCAGAGCGCGCCCGGTGTCGGCGGCCGACTCCGCTTGCCTGCGCGCGATGTGGGCGGCAGCGCGTCAGAGCCGGCCGCGACGACGCCGCTGCCCGGGCGCGGGGAGTGGGTACTGGACCGGTCAGCTGCCATGGAGGTGGCAGCTGGCACGCGGCTGCGCCTCGCCCGCGGCCGGCCGTTTCGGACCGGAACGGGCCGGCGGCGCCAGCCGTCCGGGAGCAGCCGGGGCGCCACCACCAGGGTGGCGTAGACCCCCTCACCCACACCCACTCCGTCCCGTTCCGTATCGACTTGCAGGGCTTGAACAGGCTGACTTTCCGACACGGACCATTCCATCGTGCTTCCCTTTCAAACATGGAGAGATAATCGCCTGAGCCGAGGAAGGGAAAAGCCCTGTCATCGGCCATAAAAGCGAGCAAAAGTTACAATCAGTCTATTCTGACCCGGCCAGTTGTCCGATCGGGAGGAAAAGTTACCCGCCTTCTGCGGGCCCTGACTATTGACGTGGTGCGGCGGCGCCGTTCCGTTCCGCTGCACGCCGGCCGGGCTGCGGCCGTTCCAATGTCAGCGCCGCCCACGCGCTGCGAACCCGGCCGCCCGGCCCGTCGCCGCCGCAACTCGGCCCATTCGCCGGCCGACGCGCGGCCCGTTGCCATGGCGACGGACCGGCGAGGCGCGTCTGACCTCGGCTGGCTGGCCCGGGGCACGTGTCCGCCGTCCCAGGGCCGTGCCGTGCCCGGCCCCGGCTTCGGCG